GATGGTTATCAAACCAAGCTGCCTCTTAAAAGTAAGTACGTAATCAGATGCTGCTAAAATAAAAGATGATGATCTGAGATAAAATGAACCTTCAATCATAAGAATTAATCACCTAAAATAACCGCTATTGAGATGGAAGAGATAATTATAAATGGCTTCTTAATCCTCCTGAATTACTTATATCTTAAACTTTGGTATTCCTAAAGACAATGAAAAACGGAATGGTGGAGAATTGTATTATTTAGCAAAAATAAAGCTTTATAGAGTCAATTTCGCTCTTCAAACAATTTTCATTGCAAAACTCTTTTACAAGGTTTGCAAATAAATTTTCATAGTATTTGCAAACCTTGTAAAAGAACCTAGACATTAATCTTGTACTAACCTGAAGTGTATTATAGAAACAGTAGTTTACCTAATATATCCAAACAATAGATAGTAAACTATCAATATTCATATTCCAGGCACTCTCCATCAACGAGCGAGACAACTTAAAATCACAACAAAATTGACGGTGTACCTATTCCCCAACCAACAGAACTGACGGAACTATAACTTATCGTAACTTAACGAACAACCAAATAAAGTAATATCAATCAATCAAATGGAAGGTGCGATAATACCTTCCCAAATCCCACTGGGGATTTATGGGAATTACAGGCCAAGAAGCTCAGAACAACTGAAGCTATCCATTGATGTGAAAATTCTTTTAATGAAACAAAAACATTACTTTTTAGTTAAAAAGATGTATCTGAGTAGGCCTAATATCATAATAGGTAAGTACTGTTAATATTATTTTTGCTATAGCTCCCTGAGCAATCGTAACCAGTGATACTACCGCATTGTCAATATCCAAAGGACTTGGGCTTATGGCTAAATCCCACAACTTGCAAAAGCTTTCTATAAATAAATTAAACCCTACATGACGGCATCTATGGTCCTTTGAGCCGGATCTAATTCAACCGTTTTTGTTGGGGCTATAAGCTTTGATACACACTGTTATAGACGTGAACCCGTCCTTCGGGGTCCGTCTTGCCACAACATTAAAATTCAATAGTCATGTCTAAAACAATTCATTTACCTAACACGTATGTAACGAAAATCCCTAGACCGTCGTATGTCATAGCGTACATGGACTTAGTTTGTACACATGTTTTGATTCCATTTATAAAGGTAAACCTAATCCTTTTAAAGCTATCCCAACACAACAGTGACACATTAGATCTAGCCGAGGAAGTATTACCTACCTCTTTGAACGCGAGTTACCTACCTAAGCCAGAGCAACTTTGTTGTTGCAACTAATGGCAAATTGTAACTTTTGGGAACTGGACTTAGTACGATCGAACTCTCAGGGCTACGGTACACGAAAATCAATTTTGACCCTCCAGGATTTGTAGAGGGATAATTTGAATAATCAGTACCTAGCAAAAACGTTTTAGGTACCTACCTATTTATAGTTCTCAGTATAATTTCATCCTTAAGTTTTATATAAGTAAATGGATAGTTGGATATTTGTAACAAATTATGAATACTAAATGATAAAATTAACTTCAAGCAAACGAATTTTCAAGTTAGGTACTTCTACTCATCAAGAGCATGAGATATTATTACGAAAGAAGAACTAGAAAATGCATGGTGTTGAGGCATGAAATTAATGAAATAATTTATTCAAAGTTATATCAATAACAATATGCCTATATAAAATATACTAAGGATCACTGTGGAACAATCAAATCAATCTGAGTAATGTAATTAAAACGCGATAATCTTTAATTAATAAGGGCGGGAAAACTCGATGTTTGATAGCAACGCTCGACGCGCTCTTAAGATTTTAACCCACTTGTTACTAGCGTTTGATATACGGATCAACATAAAAATTAAATTATTATAAACAATGAGGGTGGTTTCTGATAACATTGTTTATGTTAAACGATTCCTGAAGGGTCCCTTTGTCCATCAGAAGTGTTCTGTTCTACATTGGGTGTCACATTTCGATAGTAAGCGTTTTGTTGTTTTCGTAAATTTTACGATGACATTTTCAAGGTGAATACAAACATGATAAGTATTTATTCTAAAGTATTTCTTCCCGAAATATGAAAGTTTGTAGCCCACTTTTTGTAAATCGATAACAAAATTATAAACATTTTTATAGTAACTGTTACTAATTCAACGTTAAACTTAGTGATCCGTATAAGGAACGCTAGTAATATGAACTGCGGTATTTTGTTGTTTTAGCGCCTGCCTTCGAGGCCCTTTTCTTTAAATGAAATCATTGAAGAATTGGAGAAAAATGAAGATGAGTGTATCCCTAACTAAATCACAATTTTCCCGCCGGAAAATCCGGAAAATTGTAATGGTGACTTAACCAAAGAGAACTCTGGTGATGAAAATAAAGTGTCTGGATTATAAATGAGAGCCCACGTAGAAATCACTAGATAATTCTTCATCCAGTGATGATGAAGAAGACTGCATCCTGTTAGCTTAGATATCCAGTTATGCCCTAGACAGGGTCAGTCAAGTTTGAAGATATGAAGAAATTATTGTTTGTAAATGAGATGATTTAGTGTGGTTACAGTTGCTTCAAATGCATTGAAAATTGCGCCAACTGTCAAAACCAAGAGATTTTCTCCGCCACATAAACAGAGAAGAAGTATTTTAACATCTCAAATTCAGTTACAACACACAGGTGCTGTAACGAGGCTCAGGCGCCCGGGCGAGCTGGAGCGGCTGAGGCTGGTCGCCGAGGCGCCGAAGGCGCCGATGGCGGTCCAAAAAGCCGAAGCTGCGGAAGCAAGCGTGGGTGCCTGAGCCTCGTTACGCAAGGGCGGAAGGGCTGCACATCCCGCAGCGCCGGAGACGACGAGAAACCAATACATGCTGCATGCTTGCTTTCATGATGCATGCTCTGCATGCTTATCTACTCTATTAAATTATATATGATTTTTTTGAAGATACGAGTATGTCTGTTTTAAAGTAAATTATTCTGAACAACAACATTATGAGTTGAAGTATGTTCTTAGTAACAACATTATTAATTAAAACAATATGATCAATGAATGTTATGAAGAAAAAAGATCTGAAAATAAAAATTATGTATTTTAAATGGTTCTTGGTAGTAATAGTATTGATAAAAAAATTATGATTACTAACTGTTATGAGCTCCGATGGTAGTAATAAAAATGTATGAATAAAAAAAGTATGAAAGATAAAATTATGAAGAGAGATTATTATGAACACAAATCGGTAGTAAGACAAAGAATAGTATTTAGAATTTTATGTGAGCCAATATAGAACCCTAAAAACCTCTGAATAGCTGCTTATACAATCATGTACCTAGATGAATTATATTATTATTGTCATTTGCTATCATTATTTATCCGTTGTGTAGTTTTTTTTTAAGATTGTGGATATAAAAAAGGACATTGTACCTTGATACTGAATCATGTTTCTTTCATGACAGTCAATAGGTTAAAATATGATTATGTTAATTCTGAATTTTCGGAATAGGTAAGTAGGTACCCGGTACCCGGTTAAAATTAATAGCGGTTCTATTTAATAATTACGCTAATAATCCAATATACTTATTGAAAACACTGTGGGTCCCACCTGGGAATTGAACCTAGAACAGATGTAACTATCGCAGTCGCGCATGCCAATATCTCGTTAAGACTGATAAGGATAGCTTGATACAAAAATACGGAAACGTAACGTAACAAGTCGAAAGCTTCTTTAACTTTACGAACGGAGTTATCATGAAGATTGTGTGCTAAACCCAACATATCTCCCATTCTAACTTTATCACTGGAATCTTGGTGACTATGAAAGTACACAGTAGGTAGGTAATGTTAAATACATAGCAACTTAGAGACCGCCATCACATAAACCGAAACTGTAACAGTCCGTAAACAAGTCTTAACAAAGTTGTGCGGTTAAGTTGTAGACAGTCTCTTTAGTGTTCCCTACAATTCTATTGTTAGGCATGAATAGCTTAACACGGAGATAACTTTAAACCACTTTTATTTATTACCTCGATATGCAAATCTCCCGTAGTGAAACTTTACAGGCACTTTAAATGTTTATTCACTTACAACCTCACTCGGTATATTACTTACATGCTAGCGGCTACGTAGATATGCATGGATTGCGGTCTGTCATTAAATGGATAGTTCAATAAGTTTTACGTATTTTCGCGGGATAGCAGCAGATCAAGCGCCGCAAGTGGAACTGGATTGGCCACACTCTCTGAAGGGATCCCGATCACATCCCTAAGCAGGCTCAGGATTGGAACCCCCAAGGAAAACGCAAACTTGGTCGCCCCAAGCAAACTTAGCGGCGCACGTCGCAGACGAGGCGAAGAAAATCGGCAAGACCTGGAGCGAGATAAAACGCGAAGCTCAAGACCGAACGCGATGGAGGACTGTTGTGCACGGCCTCTGCCCCATCTAGGGGACATAAGACCTTAAGTCAAGTAAAGTCATATGCGCGGGATCCGAACTTTTTTCGAAACTAAAATAGGTTGGATATCTACCTATACTATACTACGCATGTGAGGCAAATTGAGATAAATTATAATTAGAATTAGAAAAAACTAGATAACAATAAAGCCATTTTATTACAAATATGTTAATAGTTAACATTACATTCGTCCAGGTATATTTTTAAACTTTAAAATTTATTACATAGGCATAGTTTGTGTGTTTGTAGTTGAGACACAATAGTAAGAGTAGGCGCACACCGTTGATTTTTAGTTGGCCGATAGTTGTGCCCGATTTTAAATTGTATGAAGAATCGGCCAAATCGAATCGGCGTAGTGTGCGCACTCCCATACATGCCCATACTGATCAACTGCCCGACTGAACTATCGGCCGACGAAAAATCAACGGTGTGCGCCTACTCTAAAACAATAGAGCTATTGTGAAACAGTACGTATCGAACATTTATGCTTCTACCACACTACGCGTGCAGTGCAGTTCATTGGCCTATGATCGCAGCNATCGCACCAGCGATGGCGATCTGCACGCGTTGGTGTGGTTGAAGCTTTATCAAAATCTATGTCATTAAAAAACTACTCAGTTCTAATTTTGGACTTCAATTTGATATCTATTACAACTAGTTTCTTAAATAACTCTGTGAGATCGGCTCTCACATGTGACTTAATTTGTTGCAGTCTGCCTCCGCCCGCACCACTCACTAATTTCACCAACCTCTCAGTAGGACATTCGGCTGAGACGAAGCATATTATTTTATTTTCTTCTACATTATCTTCATAATACTCCAATTCTACCTTTATATTATAAGGTATTTCGTTTGAAAGAAAGTCTAGGAATTTGGCTCTCACCGCCTCTATGATTAAGGTCTCGGGTTTCTGATCTGTCCATTCGTTTGGCGTGTAATGTAGATTTGCAGGTTTTGCATTACTAAGTAGGTATTCCTGAAATAAAAGCAGATAATAATTTTCATTTTGAATGAAAGAAAATATAATAAAATGTGCTACTGTCTACGTAGCGTCGCTTCATAGACGCGTATTCTTCATTATACGGTTGTTGTACATACGCTTGCGAAATTATGAAACACTGTCAACGGAGGGCCAACGTCGCGCTTTCGTCGCAGCATCGCTGCAATCGACAGTGTTTCATAGTTTTGTATGAAGCGACGTTACGTGAACAGTGGACAGTAGCAGTAACAGAATATTATATGACTAATACAAAAGGTAATGTTTATTGATTAGTCTCACTTACTCTTATATCAGTAATTCCATCTCCCTTCAAAGCTGACACCAAGAATACATCAGAGAACTTGCTATACCCCCTATCTAATATTCTCTTATCTCTGTCCTGACCAGGCACAGGGTTTCCAGCAATAAAACCATTGGTCAAGTTTCTAATGCAAGTTAGCAATTGCGTTTTCGATTTCAGTAGATCGACCTGTAACAAAACAGAGATATGATTTTATTATCTGGTCTTAATAAAGTCATTTAACTTTTTTTGTTAAACTAATTCACACTTGATCGTAAAACCACGTCATGTCATATTATGATATTCTTTATCTTATTTCCAAATAAAAACAAACACACAAGACATTGTGTTTTTTTATTTTTCAGAACTTATTAACCGACTCAAAAAAGGAGGAGGTTATTTATTTATATTTACATATACACCATGTCCCAAAATTCAAAGAAGCCGGCGCCGTAGGGTGGACATGACTACTTTAGGAAAAGTCTTATTTTTTTTCTTATTTATAAAAGTATTCAATACCATGTCCTACAACACAGGCTTATTGTTGAAATTTTGGGACAGTATGTATGTATCATTTACCTTATTTATAATTAGGAAGCTTGGTGTGTCTTTGACAGATTCTAGCATGCTGACCACGTCATGGTGAAGGCTGTCTTTGGTGAACCGATTGGAAATATCATGAACCACTCCGACCACGTCAGCGCATCTTAGGCCTTTGTAACACGAACCAATCATTGATTCTGGTAGCTTGTATCTGAAATAATAAATACAAAGCATTTTTGTTATAAATATTTGTCTTTATTTTTTTATGAATAATTTGTTTGTGCTTGAAGTAAAGTAAGTACAGTCTGCACATCTGAATTACAATGCAGGTTGAGATTAATTTTAATTTTCAATATCACACTAAACATTCTAATAACATGGTTAATAATTTATTAGTTTAAAGTCGATGTTTATTCCGTCAAACTTACTTCTTTTGCTCCCTTTCAGTCACCACTCCAGGCGTATCTAAGAATATTATCTGTGTGTCATTTTGAAAATACATTGCTCTAATCATCTTTGTAGTCGTATGAACTTTATTAGATGCAGCACATATCTGAAAAAATATTTTCAAACTCGATAAATTCAAAAAATATGACAAAATATGATTTTTACATATTTTTAGTGTATGTAATAGTTTAATTTTAGGCTGNCACTCCTCAATTTGTTTAGTTCTGACAGATGTAAATAAATTCTCACTTATTCAAAAAGAACATTGCATTTTTAGTAATTAATAAGCAGTAGTGTACATTTATAAGGTTTTTAATAATGATAAAAAGAACTAACCTTCCTGTCCACTATTTTGTTGATAAGTGTACTCTTTCCTGAATTAGGCGCCCCAATTATTGCAACGTTTACAACTTTAGCTGCATTATTTTTGTTTGCTTGTTTAGGTTGAGATGAATAATTTGCAAACCTCAAGTAACATGGCTTGCTAAATTTACAACGGAAAACACTAATTACCAGTGTAGACATTATGGCAGTTATATAAAATCCATCTAAATAAATTAAATTAATATTACTCAAATGCTTGGAGTACTAATCATTTATTTTCTTAAAATCTTTTGAATACAATTTTAACATTGAACTCATATCATAACCTAAAATACTAAAATTTGTATTCTTGATGCATACGGATTATTTAGGAAAATTAAAACGATGTACATTACAACCAATCAAAAGCATGTACGCTGTCTAATGACCAATAGTAATAGCCGACTAATATATAGTTATCTGTGGATTAAATAGATGATTATCCTGAAAAATCCATGATCAACGATGGCGTGGTATTATGACATTTTGACATTTGTTTTTTTAAGGTTTAGAAGGGCTGCACTAGCTTCTCGATAAAAATATCGACATTAATGAGCATTTAATGAGCTAAAAATTTACTTGGGTACATCATTATCCCTCAGTCCCACACTTACGTTTATTTCTGTAGCCCAACACTACCGAACTGATAAAAAAATTTAAAAAAAAAGTAAAGTACACAGTGTTTCCACATTGAGGGGAAATTCCCCTTTTGAGGGGAAATTAGGGTCAAGAGGGGAAAGAAAAGGGGAAAGACTATAAAAGGGGAAATTGCGGGAAATCGTAGATAAATCCTTTCGGAAGTAATGAGGGTTTTCGCGTATGATAAATGATGGCTCTAGCTGCTACGATTGGTGAATTTTGACAGTATCTATCAATGCTATGCCAAAAATATCCAATCATGCAGCACTCGGACGGACCTCACAAGTCACGCCTGCGTATTGCCATCTAGCGGATTTTTCATACACGAAATCTTTTATTATTTATGGACTCTACCGTGGACTAGTGTGTTACCGTATGAAAGGAACTGCGACAAGCGACAACACGAGCAGGTGGCGTATACTTACCCTTATTTCAATTCTGTTTGAGGCCTAAAATATTATTCTGTGCAAAAATGTATGCGCTGACAGCGTAAACTAATTTGGAATAAAAAATGAGTACACAACTCCAAGTTTTTATTATATTTCTGGTCAGTCTGTAAATAAAACACAAATCGTTTAGTTATATTTTATTCATGCTAAGTCTAATTTTTTTAGATTCGCTTGCACTTGCATTAGACTGTACAAACTTGAGGTGTGGTATAATTACTAGTTACGGAATGATGTTTTTTATATAGTGATAATAACAAAACAACTACATTATGTATATTAACTTATCTATAAATGTTAAGGTTATAAGTTTTATACTTTATTAGAAGTCTTATAGGAGTAATGTAGTATGAAAAAATTGAAAATTATAATTTCTCCTAAAATAAAGCATAAAGTGACTGGCCCTTTTAGACATAACATAATTAATTAATAAACTATAATTTACACTAATAAAGTATTCAAAAGCATCTTAAAAAAGTTACGGACAAAATGACGTCGAAAATATACAGATTTTTATGGAATGACCCAAATAGATGATTATCCTGAAAAATCCATGATCAACGATGGCGTGGTATTATTTGTATTATGACATTTGTTTTTTTAAGGTTTAGAAGGGCTGCACTAGCTTCTCGATAAAAATATCGACATTAATGAGCATTTAATGAGCTAAAAATTTACTTGGGTACATCATTATCCCTCAGTCCCACACTTACGTTTTTTTCTGTAGCCCAACACTACCGAACTGATAAAAAAATTAAAAAAAAAAAGTAAAGTACACCAAAAGTAGAGCGAGGGAGTTGACGCTTCGTCGATTTAATTTAAATTAAAATACCTATTTGTGAGAAATGATTGTGAGCATGTTATTTTCCACGCAACTGGTTTAGTCACCTATCTTATTATTGAAGAACCGTTCTAATTCGCCGGCATGTTTTGTCTTAGGTATGTATCTAAGTGCTATGTCTAACTTTTTAGAACAAAGTTATTTCCACTCCGTATTTCTACTGTATGTAATAATTTTAAATATTTCAGAAATGTCAGAGATAAAGTATAAGAATCAAATTTTGGCTGCAATAGATCATTTACGTGCTCGGAAGTCGAGACCAGACATCAATAGGATCTGTAAGTTCATGATAAAGTGCTATAAAGTAGCTCCCAAGGATACTAAAGCTGACCTAAAACGCTGTTTAAAGGAAAAAAGTATATTTAAAGTAGACTACAAAGATAATGTAAGCTACAGAAACGCTGCTAAGTGGCGAAAAAAGTCGAATCTCAGTGACAGTAAGTTTTCCTTTTATTTATGTGCTATTGCTAAACTAATAATTGTTTTTGTTACAGCATTGGCTATATTTTGAAGAGGGTCGCATTGTGCTAAAAATTTTATTTATTTCTGATTTTTATGAGCATAAAATAAATAATTGGCTAACCAATCAATAAGACTGAAACTTGTTACATATTTATAGACAGTAATAATTTTTTTGTTTACTTACATACATATTAATATCGCTTTATTAATCTAAGTTAATATCTACATTTCTAAGTACCTACTTTAAGAACAACAGAACACATAATTTGGTTTAATATCCACAATGAAAACTAATCTACAAACTTTTACCCTTTCTTCCTTTGGAGAACACCAATTTATGTTGTTTTTTTGCCACATATTTGCTGTCTATAAACATGAAACCATATCTTATTATTAAAATGCAGACATGGCGGCAACTATTGCAACTAACGAGAGAAGAATAATAACATCAGCAATAGCAACACTAATTTATCAAGATCAAAGTTACTTGGAAAATGGTATTGGATTCGATGACCTTATCAAAGCAGCAGTTTCCCAAGAAACTAAATATACAAAGAAACAGCTGGAAGCAATGGTTAACAAAGAACTGGCTACAGGAAGTCTGGTGAAATTGCCTAACGGCAATTTGGCTCTTGGCCCCGCTGATCATGATGGTGATAGTTCAGATAGTTTTAAGTTTGAATATACAATGGACTCTAACACCAAAGTAAGTAGCACCATTTATTGATTAATACTTAACCTTTCTAACGCTTGGTTTTATATCAACTGCTGTGACTCTAGCACCCAACTAAAAAAAAATGTTATAACAGCTCATAAAAGTTAAAAGAACAATGCATGAATTAACATGCAGCATAGCATTTTAAATCCAATGTGTAGTCCACAGCCAGGTGGCTGTTAATAATTTAATACTAAATCAATTATATTCATATGTTTCAGATGACTTCTTCTGCCAACTCATCATGTCGATCGTCACCTCAACGAATGAGAGGTCGCCCGAAAAAGAGGGGAGGAGCTAATTCAAGCACAACAAGTAACAGCAATACTCGTAATGCTGGCGTGAGAGTAGGCGAGAGGCGTAAAATGGCCAAAAAAGTATTTGATCCATCTGATAATAATCTGCCAAGCAAACGTAAAAGAGGGAGACCTGTTGGTTCACTCAACAAAAGTACAATAAAAAAAAGACAGATGGGAGGTCCTAAAAGTGACAAAGAAGGCACTCCTTTATCTGACGGTGAAGGAGAAGTAAGCGCTGAAGAAATTGAACTTGAAGAGCCAATACCGCATGAAACATCAGGAGGTGTATGCTCCGTTTGTCTTGTACAGAAGCCTCGTGGGTCCAGCGATAGGCTGGTGGAGTGTCGCGACTGCAATAATAAAGCTCACTTGAGTTGTTTGCAATCAGGTTCTGGCATACTCAAACCCAGGCCTGATAACACATGGCAATGCCCCCATTGTAAAACATGTGTTGTTTGCTGTGAAACTAATGATGCTGTAAGTTTAATAGTCTCTTTATTATTAATTCTGTTACATAATCAACATATTGATCAATAATTTCTTCAATTAATTAGTACCGTAAATAATTACTTTCTTTTGTTTACAGGGTATACTAACTGTATGCAGTATTTGTTCAGATGCATATCACGCACTTTGCCACACGCCGCGCATACCAGAACGCCAAAAAGCTTGGGACCAATGGGAATGCAATAATTGTCTAGAGTCACGGCCTACAGTAGTGGGTTCCCCAGCCATCATTCCTAGGTGTATTGACTTTGAAAAGCAAAATTCACCTACAGCTGACCCATTCTTAAAACCACACGAATTAGACAGGGCACCTTCTAAACTTAAAGAAGAAGTGCCAGTAGACCCAACTATCCCAGACATAACGAACTGGACTACTGAAGAAGTGTATGAATACTTTACAAAACATTTTCCAGAGGCTGCACCAATCTTGAAAGAACAGGTAGGTACATAGAAATAAAATTAATACAATTTCCTATATTTTACTTTTAAATTCCTAGTTGTTTATATTGATTTTTTCTTTCAGGAATTTGATGGTCAAGCCCTGAGCATGGCGCGTCGGGCTGATATCGTCAGGGGTTTAGGATTGCCATTGGGCCCAGCCCTGGCGTTATATCGAATCGTGGTCAAATTACAAACAAGAAAAGACGATTGGACTATGTGCTGGGGCTAGACAATATTTTATATATTTTAATAATTTTAGTGTAATAAACTCTCAGTATTTTTATTCTAGACTTTCATTAATGTAACCCTCAACTCGTTAGGAAGTTCGATTTCGGTTCCCGCGCAACACATGTATAGGTACATGCGTTTTAACATAAACACAGTAGAGCTGGAATCCAAGGTGAAAAGTACTACACAAGTAGGCAACATAGTAGGTAGGTAAGTAGGTAAGCTTTTTAACCCTATAAAACAAAGTAACTATTGATTTTAGCTTTACACTAGTGATATAGAAATTAAACAATGAACATAATAAATATAAATTTTATTTACATAATACTATCACAGTAACTATTTACATTCTACTGTACAGATATACCATTATGCTAAAAGTTTTTGGTTTACTTCAATACCCGCATTTATTACATTCATGTACAGTCCAGATAGGTACTATTATTGCGTTTATTCCCGATGTCCCCCACTATTTGNCTATTATTGTACATTACCTAAAAACAGGCACCTATCAAAGTTATTTAAAGTAATTCAAAGACCTTGAATTCACAATGGCAAAAGGGGTGTCCAGTAATGCATTCATTATCATCTTGCAATAAATAATGTTGTTATGAAAGTCTAATATTGTATTGGTCATGCAACAAGAGTTAAGGCCATCAACAAGTGTGGTAGCTAGTGTATTTGATGTTTGAAAATGAATTTGTGTTCTGTATTCAAATATTACATCAGTTTGAGTATTGTGTTCACCTCAACTTTCGTAGAGTGACCTAATATTATCAGAGGTTAAGTGCAATGTAACATGAAGGTTAAACAAAGTCCATCCACTCATTCTATCATTCACTAATAAGGAATATTATAATTTGTGCTACCTATAAAGTATTTTCTTATCAGTGTTGATCATAATGTTTCATGTAAGATAAAAAGATGTTAAAAATCATTGTTGCCCCATTAATGTAAAATACTCTATACTCTGTTGGTAGATAGTAGAAGTTAACAAACTGCACTGGAGGCCAGTATAGACAGTCACCCTGAAATAAATTACAAATAATTAGGTTTCACATAATAACAAATAAGCAAATCAAAACCAAAGTAATTAGTTCCACTTACAGTGTAGACATATCTAAATTTCTGAGTTATTTCACTAGTACTTTGAGAAAATGACTTTGATTCTAAGAAACCCATGCCATAGAAGAAACAAAGTATGGTTGCTGGTGAGGCAAAAAGTTGGTCACACATAATTTTTTGAAAGACTGTCTTCAAATCTACTTTGGGTAAAACCTTATCAAGGTATAAGTAGTAATAATGATGCATCGGACCCATCAGAGTTCCAACAATAAACATTCGACCTGAAAATTAAGTTTCAGTTAAAATTAGGTATAAGAGTATTATATACGACATCTAAATAAATTATACAACTTACCTAACCGCGCCCAATCATATCTTTTTAATAATACTTTTGATTGGAATTCAAACTCCTGCTGAACCAAGTCACCAATCGCCATGAAACCGCCAGAACTGATACTATTTGTGATCAACAGATTTTTCTTAAACAGAAAGTTCACTCCACGGCGAAAAGATGAGTACATATTGGTACGATTTCTAGATAGGTTCACTCCTTGTCTCACAGAAAAACATCGAACTGGAAACATTGCTGAAATAAAGAAAAGAATACAATCTCAAAAAAATCGACAGGTTAAAACATTTAGTTTACATTGAAGACAGGAGACTTAACTAGATAACCTTACTTTTTCATACAATAAGAATACATTATTAATAACTCAGCCCTTACTATTAATATTATTTACATGAAAATAAAGTAAAATTACAACTCACAAGGCCAAGATTTTCAAAATAATTTGCGCCCTTGGCTGGCCGAGAGCGAAACCGGAGACATCAGCTGTCACTGTCACTGATGCCTGTCTAGTGATGTTACGTTATTATCGATATTTAAATCCAATTGAGCTCATAATGAGCTCTAAATCTCAGATTTTAAGGACTTTTTCAAATAACATTTTTTTTTGAGCTAGTTAGTCCATTCTACGGGTGGAAGATATAAATTGAATAATCGGATAACATTTAAATATTATTTAATTGTAGTAAACGTGTCCAATCCAAACCAAAAACTTAGTCGAGTATTATACTAATCGATTAGACGAGCGAGTCAATTCATTTGTGCTAGTTTGACAGGGGAGTAGCACGTTCCTGCTCTGAATCGGGCGGTCATTTATAGACCACTTAATATTACAACTTGTACTTCTTGTTACTCGACCAAAGTGCGAACAGTTTTTGGTCAGCAGCGATGTTTAGTAACTAAAGCAACTCGGCTTTACTAAATGTCCCGACTAATAATAAGGCTTTTAATATAATTCTCCAAAACTGAGATAAACTTAGTCGAGTTAATGTTAGAATGTTAACTAAGTACAGACCTATTAAATTATTGTGACTTTGCTAATTGCTACACCCTCACAGGGTCAATGTATGAATGCATGTATACCTGTATGTGCTGAATATGTTAATGCAAATGAATAAATAAATCATCGATTATTAAAATAAAATAGAAAGACACGGGTCTTAACGCGACCACGGTACGCGACGTTTATTAATGAGTTAATTGTTTTTAATTGAAATGGAACGCGAAAGTTTAAAATCTTAAATCATCGTTTATATTCGATAATTTGTATATTGATTTTCAACTAAATCGGAGAGCAGCACTATTTAGGTAACCAAAAAAAAGCCAACCAAGCGAAGCGAACGGCTTTCTGGGTTCTAAGGACTGCTTTATGAATCAGTAAAAAATAAAATTATTTTGTACGTATTTCATAATAAGTCTCTACGGGTGATATTTTTATTCAAATCAAAAAGTTTATTAATAAAACACAGCGTTCGGTTGAACAGACAACGAGTATTATCGGCCGTTTGGTGTAGTGGTTCGAAACGGACTACTATTCCGGAGGTAGCGGGTTCGATTCCCGCACAGTACAAACATTTGTGTGCATGAACATATTTGTTTGTATTGGACTGGACTGGGTGTTTTCTATGTATAGTAAGTATGTATTTACAAAAAAAAAGTATTTAAGTATGTATGTTTAATACTTAGTATTATGTACAAGCTTTGCTTAGTTTGGGACTAGAAGCGCAGTGTAAAATGTCTAAGGATATTTATTTATTATTTATTTTATTTATTAACTTTTATCTCAAGAACAAAATCATTTTGACATATTACGATACCTACATAATTCTTAATTTAAGAGTTATTCGAGAATTGGTGAAAATTAAATATCAGCCCCAAAACAAATATCTTTTCTATGGCAGAATACGTGTCGAAAGATGATTCAATGTTTAAAGTAGACACGCAGATATGAATTAATATGTAATAGAAAGAGAGGTCAATAAGACAAAATGACTAGCATGCAACTACTCGCGTATAAATTGTAATCACGCACTTATTACAATACATACATGATTAGTCCGTATGCGTACTGGCGATGTATATTTTGGAGTAAGATAATTGACCTAAGTCACTACAAAGTATACGCGAGCAGTACGCAGCATATGCGTACTGGTCGTGTATAGTTTGGAGGAGCTTAGTAAAAAAAGTCATCTCCAAACTATACTCGGTTAGTTTCACACCCTTGCGTTCTGGCTATGTATATAGAACGGAAAGACGCGTCAATGTATGAATGCATGTATACCTGTATGTGCTGAATATGTTAATGCAAATGAATAAATAAATAAATAAATCATCGATTATTAAAATAAAATAGTAAGACACGGGTCTTAACGCGATGTTTATTAATGAGTTTATTGTTTTTAATTGAAATGGAACGCGAAAGTTAAAAATCTAAAATCATCGATTATATTCGATAATTTGTATATCGATTTTCAACTAAATCAGAGAGCAGCACTATTTAGGTACCAAAAAAAAGCCAACCAAGCGAAGCGAACGGCTTTCTGGGTTCTAAGGACTACTTAGTATCAGTAAAAAATAAAATAATTTTGTACGTTTTCATAATCCGTCTCTTCGGGTGATATTTTTATTCAAATAAAAAAGTTGATCAATCGATTTTTGATTTCCTAATTCAAATTTGACATGACAAAAAAAAATTAATCTGTCTGTTTGTTTGTCGAAGTCGAACCGTCTTGTGGGGTTATAAAAATTTAAATAAATATTATTTTAATTATTTTTACTGCTTATTGATTAGTGAGTACCTACTATTATTTATTAAAATTTCATTTTTTTCTTTTTTCAATAACCAACTTGGTTATTTTTTAATAGCACGATTTTAAAAGAGCTGGCACGAATGAAGCTTTTAAAAGATGTAAAAATACATTTTCTACGTATTTGGTTATCATAAATGCATTCGTGCCAATTCTGATAATTACCTAATAATTTTGTTGTAATTTTTGTAAGGTAAGTGTTAATAATCATAACCTATTAGTATTTTATAAGGAGCTAGCATGGTATGTTGAAATTCAATATTATCAGCATTTTATGAATTACTATCCAGGTGCAATTTATGTTTCATAATATCTGTTTTGTTCCAACTTTTAGCTAACCCAACATGGATGATGATATAGACATCGAAGAACATGATTTGTTAGACAATCCAGCCATGAGAAACATATTTCCTGATCTCTCTGTTGTAAAGAAAGAGTTGACTGGATATTTTGAGGAAGGTAAATACTTGTTTGTTCCATTTAATTGTATAAAAGCTTAGCTGTGCATGCACACAATATTCTTTCTATTAATTATACTTTAATTTTCAGCTTCAACAATAAATTGTCAACCAAACACATTTCATATTGATAAACTGATCATACCAAAAAATGAAGAGCATGACCTTTTGCCAGATTCAAATAGTATGCAGACAGGAATAACACAGCCTCTTGATAATGCTTCTTTTCAATCTGGAGTGTCTGTTAATCAGATAAACCAAACACCTTTTAAGACAAATAAAATCATTTTGGGGTCAAAGCCAAGTCTGACTCAGAATGTAGTATGTGAAAAGGCTGACAGAGATGTATATTCGGCACAGGTAAAATTGATTGATATTGAAGCCTACATAAAAAACAGTGAAAGATTCTGCAATATTTGTCTTATACTATTTCCTGAAAAAGAAGGTCTTGATGTACATACAACATTAAATCACAAACAGATTAGTCTATGCAATATGGCAAGAAAGAAGAATACGATAACTATTGGATCAGTCGTAAGAAAATACAAATGTGTTGAATGTGGTGAAATTTTTACACAGCATAATCAATTAAGAAGGCATTTGATTAATATTCATAGAAAAAACCACAAAAACAATTGGACTGCCAGAAAACACATTACGCACCAGTTATCATCAACAGAAACTAAAATGATATCTGAAACAGAATCGCATGAATGTTTTCATTGTAAAGTTACATTTTCTTCAAAAAAATTGCTCATTGATCACATCTATAAAGTTTTACAATCAAAACAAGTCAGTGATATTAATGGTCCACAAGCTTTAACAAGCTTAGGGAAACTAGCAGAAGATAAGTTGAAAAATAATCTACAAGTAACTAAAAGGGTCTTGAGTAAGGAAATGGGAGACTCTGATTCTACACATGGCACTAAAATTAGACCCATAAGACAGAAAAGATATGAATCTGGTCAAAGAAATGTGAACGGAATACAGAAAAACATTTTAATATTTAAATGTATTTACTGTTCTTATAATTTTTCACTTCTGAAGTTTTGCTTGAGTCATATTGAAAATAAACACAAAGATTTCAGTTTAAAGAAAATAAAGCCAACAAAATTTAATGAGCAATGTGATCATTGTTCAAAAAAATTAGTTGATTACAGAGTTTATAATTCACATTTGCGATTATATCACAAAGAAAAAATTGAAAAAACGATTAAAGTATATCCAAAACTATGTTTACCGAAAATAGACATCATAATGCCTCTAACTGAAAAACCTAAAGTAATGACTCAAGGAAATAACTACAATAATTTGACTATGAGAAGCTTAAAGGTTGATCACTGTGAAAACCTTGATTCTGAAGGTAATAAACAAGATGAGGAATCCTATTCAGACTGTAACGAGCAGCTTGTACTGAAATCAATTTTATTTAAATGTCTGCGATGTGATATTCACTTTTTATCAGCTAAAACTGCAATGAATCATGCAGATCATATGGAATTGTTAATTAACTGGAAATGTTTATCATGCAATAAAATTTTTAAAAAAGTTGACGAAAAATTACATGTAAGGCAGCATTCGTTTTCTGACAACTTCACAGTATATGAATTTTCTGAGACTCAACTATCACAATTGTTATATAAATGTTCCAAGTGTGCAATCCATTTTAATGCGAATGGTTTTGAACCACATATAAAAAAATGTGAAATTGTTGTGGCAGAATCAGTTTATTGCAAGATTTGTGATATTCTTATTGATAGATGTATTGCTGGAACTCATGAAGACTATCATCACAGGAGAAAATTTAAACCAACTGACTTTACTATATTATTATCTGAACCTATTGGTGCTGAATCAGTGCAAAAACCAGAAACAATACCCATGGTTAAAAAGTTACCCAAAAAGAAGATAAAGCAAACACGGGATAGGAGTAATTTCAATCTAAAGTATTGTCAAACATGCAATTCTTTTATAAGAATGAGAGGAGTTAAGCGTTTAGTTCATTTGGAATCACGCTGTGCACATTTACCAGTTCATATTTGTAAAATATGTGGACTTACGTTTACAAACAAATCTATGGGCGCCCACAGAGCTATGCATTTAAAGAAAAAAGGCATAAAATTACAAGACTTTACATTTTACTGCTTTAGAAAAAATAAACAAATTTCACCGCCCGTACCCAAATATCCGGAGTGTAAGAATTGCAACGTTCATTTCATATCCAAAGTTGCTGTATTAAATCACATATGCAGTGAAGATTATCTAACATGCCACATTTGTAATATAAAACTATCCGAAGCAGTTTTTAAATTACATTTGTCATTCCATTACTATTCAATCACAAATAAAAATAAAAAAATTATACTGTACCAAAGTGATGCAATACATTCAGGCGAACAACTGGAAGTGCGTGAAATTAAACGTCCGCGACCACCTCCGAGAAAAAGAAATTTGTCTGAACCAGGTCATAGCTCGGAGGCAGAGATCCAAGAACCAAAATGCTCGGCAAGATCTGATCGGAATCTGTCAAGTCATACAGAAAGATTACATGAAGGACAGGGTGATGAATACCTGCATGAAAACGAAAATAATTCTACCATAGCGGATGTCAAACCCGAACCTGAAATCGCTTCTGAGGAGTGCAAACTTACATCCTCAAAACATATAATTTCTGTTGAAAAACATTTAGTAAATCAAAAAGCTGGACAATCGGACTTTGTTCTCTTTGAAGTTCTATATTGTTGCACAAATTGTCACATCACAATTGATACTTATGATAAAGTGGTAGAACATTGCCAAGATCATTTATGTGGAGTGGAAATTGAGAAAAAAGGATGTGAAACCTGTAAAATAACACTGGATCGTAACAGCTATGATAACCACATTAAAGAATTCCACAGTGATGAAGTAACAAGAAAATCTTTTAAATTACTGGAATTTGACACATTTTATTTTACAGAAGATAACAAAATTTGGACTAAACATATATTTCGAAATATTAGTCAAGAAAAGTCACTACAAATTTTAAGAAGATCGATTTACAGATATGGTTGCAAAACTAAAATGCAAGTAATTCAAGATGGATCCCCTGATTTAACAGTTTATAAATGTAATAGCTGCTTTGTTATTGTAGATCCAGAATCTGTAATTAAACATGTGGAAAATTCATGTTTTAAGTCACGTAAACATCCATGCTCATATTGTGGATTACCTTTCATGTCTTATTTGTCGTTAAAAGAACATTTAAGTGTCCACAAAACAATGAACATAACGCTGAAATCGTACAGGATTGTTTTAATCAATCAAGAGAAGGATAAAAAGAGCAACAAAATTATAAATGGTCACAACAAATTCTTCCTTTTATATAAGTGTAGAAAATGTAACTGTATCCTTGATCAGTTTCAACGTCATAGTCATACATTGTGTTCCGAAATGGATTTGAAAAACTGTCCTGTATGTGGCTTACTGTTTTACCATTCTGACTATAAACTCCATAAGACTAAACATGAATTAGTTTATAACTTTGTACCAAAGAACATGAAAATTATTTTATTTGGGGATAGAGCTTCGAAGGAAGCATCTCTGGATTCCATTGACCAAAAGACATTCAAGGGCACAATTGTGGACTTTACATTTATTCAATGCTCAAAATGCGGTGTATGCCTGGAGAAATCTCCAATAACTACAATAAACCATATTAAATGCTATGAAGACAACGAAAAATCAAAATGTCCAAAATGTGAAATGTATGTTTTAAAACATAAATTTTCTCGTCACTGTAAATTACACGATATTAATGTTCATTTTGTTAAAGAAAATATTAATATAATACCTTACGATCATAATGAACAGTTAAAAAAGTTTATACCAGCCTCATTAAATCTATCAAATGAAGCAAAGAATGCAAATCAAACAATAAACAGAATTTCACATCAAACGAAAGAAAAAAGTCCAATACTACCAGAAAAAACAGTAAAATTGTTTAAATGTACTTGTGGGTTACATTATTTGGATAAAAATGGTATAGACGAACATTTTGGCCACTGCAATCCTAAAACATCTAAACAATATTGCTCTAAATGCAATCTTTTGTTTACTCCATCCGTTTTATTTACTCATTTGTTGTTACATCATGGTGACAAAAAATATGTTTATAAATACAACATTATTGAAATGTCTCAGAACAAAAATCTAATTATAAATATATACAATTGTGCACATTGTAGAACGCATTTCATAGAATATGATAAAGCTTTAGAACATTTTGGGAATTGCGAAGACGTTGAAGTGGAAAGAAAAGAATGTATAAAATGTAAGGTATTTTTCCCTATTGAGTCTATTGCAGAACATGAGACTAAACATCACAATGAAAGCGTTGCAGATATTAACATAATAGATGTTACTGACAAAAAGGACCAAAATAAGGCAGATGCAAAATCTATAGATAATGTAATTGATCAAGCGGATATTGTAAGAGAAACGAAATATAATATTTCTGAAGAGAGTCTATCACAAATTGATTTAAGTCGGTATGACAATACTATTTATAAATGCGAACCGTGCAACACCCATTTTTTAACCGAACATACTTTAAGACGACATGTCGCCCATGATAGGCATGTGTTATCTCCTCAACAGACATGTGATTTTTGCAAATTGAGTTTTTCTTTGCAGTCACTTACTAAACATATTTATATTCACCATGATAGAATGAAGATCAATAAAAATGAATTTATAATCAAAACTAATTAAATCAAAATTGTTGTAAATAATTTTGTTAATAGATTTTCTTAAGTTTGTAATGCATGTAAATAAATAGGTACCTATATTAATAGAGGTAGTTCGATAAATTTTTTTGTTGAAATAAGTACCTACATCTTGCTGATGACCATTGCAAGGATTAGAACTTTTATTTGTAATGGTTATGTTGGACTGTTAATATTTTATGTTAGAAAGTGACCTTCACAAATGTTTGATTATTTTAGTTCATTGTGGTATGTTTGATTTTAATAAAATGCAATAAATTGATTTTGTTTTCTTTTGTATTTAATTGTTTTATTTGAACCCCTCAGTTTGATAAGAAAGTTGCAAGTCCTAGTGGACTCTAAAAGACACTGCTATAATTTTTGAGAAGTAGGTACATATAAAATCTTTATCCAAATGATACACTCTATTCGTTTTTTAATTATTTTAGAAATTTTATGTGGGTTTTATTAAATGATGGTGTTAAATAGTATTAAACAATAACAAAAAAATAAATTTTTTTGGCTTTCAATATTCAGTTCTGAATTATTGAAAAATAACCTAAAAATACCTATTTCAATTGAACAGAGATTTTTTTACCAATTGCCTAACCGATGTGTAGGATTTTATTGGAGTACCCAAAGGACCTTTACTTAGACCGAAACTGTATGTATAAAAATTATGGAGCTGCGATCCAAATGTGCTAGTTTAAATAATAAAATTATTACGTAATATCATAAGAAAATAAAACGGCATTTTAACTATTTTGCTTAGATTAATAATCAAAGTTATTTTGTAAAAAGATAAAACGGCATTTTAACTATTTTGCTTAGATTAATAATCAAAGTTATTTTGTAAAAAGATACAAAAAAATGCATGGGGGCGTTTGGCCGAAAATAGCATTATTATCGCTAGTAAGAAAAATGGAGTCCTTTTATATCACTGCTAAAAATTTATAAGAAAACGCCACTTTTGAAGTTCTAACAAACTTGTCCTCGCCGAAAACGTGCTGAAGTTGCCAAAAATGGCGATCGCAATTTTGCTAACAAATTCTATTTTCGGCCAAACACCCCCATTGACAGTTCGTCTCCAGGGGCTAAGGATGTTAAAAGTCAGAATTATCGATATCACAAATTAAATTAAGACCAAAAATAATATTATTCTTTACTTCTACTATATTATAGTCTCCATAGATTAATAAAGCCTATAGATAGTAAGCGCACGAAAAGTGAGGCAACTTTTAGTAGACCATTTTGGTCCACTTGAAAATTAAAACTTTTTTTGTTTTAATTAAATGTCTTAATAAATAACAAAGTTTTGAAATGACATAAGATTTTTGCCTCTAATTTTTGACGAAGCGTTTTATGAAGATTATCCATCTAAGCTTTATTTATCTAAGATAATCTAATTTTTAACCAACTTCAAAAAAGGAGGACCTTCTAACCCTTCCATTCTTCCAACCTTCCATCTGTTTTTGATTATGTATTTTTATCTTACAACTAAGTCAATAATATGAACCTATTTTAAAAGATTTTTATAAACATTATTCTCTTTACAATGACGTAAAAACATCACAGTTTCATTCTCCAAAGTTAGAAATTTGCTAAAATGAAATTGCCGGAAATTCGAAAAAAAAAACGTCATCGCTTGTAATATTTCAAATTTTAAATTCGAACTATATATTTTCAACTTTATAGATGCCTTAATGTATTACCTATCTACTAGTATCATTGTTTTCGTAATCACAACTGTACTTTTCTTTAAATAATCGTTTTTATCGGGACGCGTACCGCGCGCAAATGTCGCGCGGAAGCGCAGATGGTTCTGCCGGGTCATAGTCTGACAGCGCGAAGGATGTGACCCCCAATTTATTTGTATTTTTATTATGTCATCTATGTAAAAAGGAAATTGCTAGTTTTTTTAGGTTATATGTAGTCCCAAAATAATAAGGCAACATTTCTATCAAAGTTAATCGATATCATCGTTATCTATGAAAATCGGCTATATTTATCTACGCACAGACATCGCACAGAGCACGTAATATGTAGTACTACTTAAAATTAATGAAAAGGAAGGACGATATAATAATAAGATCTGAAATTGGGTTGTCGTGTACTATCACAGTATAACATTGTTTGTTTGTAAAAGGGGATAAAGTGTGAAATTGCCGATTTTTTCTTCGATATTCATTAGTGCCTAAATAATTCCTTTAATACAATAAAGCCCGGTCTGGGAGCACGTAGAATTTTGTCCAATGACCCCAAACTACCCATCCTTATCGCTCGCACGTAATTATATTATTATATTGCTGTCGCGACCAGACTATAGCTTTGACGCTATGTATATGTTATAAAAACTAATGTGCATGGAATTTAATAATATCGATACTATTCGAAATTTTTGACATGTCTAGTTAGTTTGACAACTGGTTGCCTGCTTCTTCTGCGTGATTTGTGCGCGATTTGTTGCTATTTTGCAAGTGAATCTGAGTGAATCCAGTGATTTGATTTTGGAAGAAATGTTCATAAAATTTACTCATTATTAACAATTAACAATGGCTCAGCAAAGTGAAAATCTGGATTTCTCTGGTTTATTTAAATTGGATGTTTTGGTCCATCTTGATATTGTAAATTATAGTTTCTACGAAGTGGGTCTGAAGAAGTTCCTAGCATTTTCTAGTGATAAAGAATTGTTGTTCTTCTACATCAATCCTCAGACAGAAAGATTTGAACGAAATTATGATTGGGATTTCGTCGACAATCCTATTTATTGCATGTGCTTTGAGCCAAGTGGCACTTGGGTTCTCATTTTAAGTGAACAAAAAGTACTCCTAGTACCATTTCTTCCTTTATTCATCCCGCAAAATACTTTCGATCATAAATGGTCTCTATCAAGTGTCACTGTTCTTCCGATCGCAAATATACAGAAGCCATCCTCTGTTGTGTGGTGGCTTACAAAAGAGTCTGAAAATATACTAATAATTGGATCTAAGGTAATTATAAAAAAAACGTGTTATTGCTTGATATTGTTCTGGCTAGCAATTAGCAAAATGATTGATTATTACACAAACTATTACAAATACTTTTATTTTATTTTATTAGAAAAAAATAGGTTATTGAATACAGTTTCAAACCTCAAATTTCTACATACTACTTAGCTTTAAAGTTTTTAGAAAATGGTATTTGCTTTTAAATACACAGATTGTGTTCTTTAAATGTTTTTTATTTTTGTCCCATGCATATTTTATGGCTAAGTAACAAAATGCAAAAGCACTAAGTTTTTCTGTCATAAAACTAATGAATGCTGCTTTTGCTAAAACCATGAAAGGCTAAAACATACTACGTAGGTACTAACTTTACTATCATAATCATTATACACTGTAATGAGGCTCTTTTTATCTTAGACAGGAACAATCACATTTTATTCATTGGAATCTCAAACAATAGTTGGAGAATGTAAAGTTTCGGGGGAAATAATTGACTTGCAAATGTGTTTTGATGACTCCCTCGATTTGTTGGCACTGTTGGTGAGTAAACCTTAGTACACTTTGATGTTAATTTGTTGGAATAATTTTGAAATTAAAGAATTATTACTCTTAGTATTGGTAAAGAATCAGAATGTTTTATTAAAATTTTAGATATCAAGAAATAAAGCACAGCAATGGAAGCTTGTCTTAGAGCACAGGTCTTATGGCTACAACTGGCTACAGCAGACTAGAATACAAACTGACAAAGAGAAGAAAGATGGCTTCATGTCCTATATAAAACAGTTGTCCAAAGATAAAATAACTTTATTCATACAGGGTGGTTCAAAAGGTAAATTTTAGAATTACACTTGTAGAATTGCACTCATACTTAAAGGAAGTAATTGTTTATATCTTAATGATTTATTTTTTGCAGATGACAGTAAATCTCAGAGTGTGGAATATGTCCTGAAGCCTGTTGAGTACTTACCATTATTTCGCAAGGGCTCTAATAATTGGGCACTGTCAGCCCAGTATGTCAATGGAAGACATTTTCTGACTGCTTTCGAGTTAAATGAGGGGACTTTAATTGTTAGTTTCTTATCTGTCTGTTATTATAAATATGTAATAATTTTAAAATTGTTTTTTAAACTTGTTCTAAATTTCAGCTTGAAAGTCCTGAAGACGAAACACCATCTAGAACTTTGCGACCTAAAATCAAGAAAGATGGCTTGTATATTCAAGGACTTTGGTCCCAGAGACTCATTTATTTAATGAGAAAAAATGAATTGGAAGTGCACAGTGCCAACTTTTCTGTGATACAGGTATCTATATTTTGTTTCATAGTTGCCAATCTATTATTGTTTTATTATTGTAAATGTGTATGTGACAATGATTATATTGCATTTTCATGGTAAAATCACTAAATCGATTTAGGTTGAATCTATATATATAAAAGAAAGTCGTGTTAGTTACTTCGCTTATAACTCAAGAACGGCTGAACCGATTTAGCTGAAAATTGTCAGGGAGGTAGTTTAGAGCCAGGAGAAGGACATAGGATACTTTTTATCCCGTTCGAAATTAAAAAAAAGTCTGCTTATTTATTGCCATTAAGGCGGAACAAAGTTCGCCGGGTCAGCTAGTTTTGTATAAAGATAGTATGAGACCCAGGCATAGGATAGTTGCTTGCTGTCCTAGTTTTTGATGGGAGGAATCTATAGACTATCGCCTTTTTGTGGCAGGTCGAAGCCGTGGGTAATAGTAGTATATTTTTGTGCTAGGTATTACCCCTGCTTGTAACAGATAGACTAGACATACCCTAGCTTCTTCTATACATATCACATCAAACTGCTATAATTTCCTGATTAATTTCATTGCGGGTCCAATGACCAGTCCAAACTTGACCTTTACTGGTTGGATTTTTATTGGCGGTCAAGCTGTAGATCCTGGCTGCACAGGAGTTGCAGCGATGGGAACGAAAGGTGGGAATAGTCCCGTGTATATCCTAGGTCACGATTATTTACTAAAATAGTAAGACATAATGTAAGTCATTAATAAACGTCGCGTTAAGTCCCGCGTCTTACTATTTTAGTTGAAATGGAACGCGAAAGTTTCAAATCTTATGATTATTTACATTTAAAATGACTAAATTCCCAGGGTGAAGGTTTGCTAGGTGCGAAGCGGGAATTCTCCGAGCTCTGGTCGGCTGAGCTGATAGGGGATGTGCGGCGAGCGCACCTGATGTCTGCCAAGGAGCCGGCTGCGGGTAGCAGTGGTTGGCGCGAGCCCACCTTCCTCTGTGACTTGCAACTGCCGCGGTTCAGCGTGGAGCCCTGCCTCGTCGTTACGAATTGTGGCGCGTATATTCTGAACACTGTGTAAGTTCTTTTTCCTATTTTATGATAACTGAATAGTGTCCTTCTGAACTTGGGAGGGCCACTCTACACCAAATGATCTTTTGCTGTGCCATATTTTTCCAAAAAGCGGCAGACAAAAGCGTTTTTTACATACGAGTTCACTTCACAAAAAGTTATGGTGTTACAATTCAGAATTTATGACGTGGATTAAGAGCCGTAAGGGCGGGGTGGACGAACCGTAAGCTAGTTGACCACCGTTCGTGATTAGCGTGCGTTGCAGCTTACCCCTTTAAGTTTTATAAAATAAATTCTGAACGGCTTGAGCTTATACAGTGACGGTCCCTTTCCGAGTTGATAAGTGTGCTTAACCGTATCAACTCGAGGCGGACAGTATTCTTTGTATGGAATTCCATACTGCGACGCACACTTATCTGCATCGTACAGTAAACGCCTCTCCTCGCTTCGTCTCGCGGCGATAGGTGACACTGTAGTGATTCCTTTCAGATTTGACAAGTGTGCTTTCGACTTTTACGCTCGTATTCACAAACCTTACTATGGGGTCTCACAGTGCGCGTGGACGCACAGGGTGAGACGAACCAATCACTGAGCTCTATTCATCGCTGTGCGTTCGATTTGCTGCTTCTCTTAAGCGAGCATCGTTTGTGAATACGGGCGTTAATCTACTTGGAATGGTAGAAAAATGTTTTGTTTCTAGATGCGAGCCGTGCGAATGGTTGGTGGGTCTGATAATGCGTGGGGGCACCGGCGCTGAGCAGTCCGCGGCGGCGCTGGGCGCGCCCGTGGCCACGTTGTTACGCGCCGCCGCTGATATGCTCATGTCGCGCGGGAAAGTGGCGCCCGCGCAGTACTTGTACTCGCTTTCGCAGGTCAGTGGCGTCGTAAGCTTGCTAGTGATAGCGCTATGGTCGCGCACTCCCTTTTAATTCCAGAGCTCATTCATTGCACTGACTTTAGAGCCTTAAACGGCTTTTCCAGTTTTACCAGTCGCCAATCTCTTGAAACTGCGCCATCTCTTGGTCAATTCGACAACTATTAACTAACAATGGCGTTTTGCGAGCGCCTACAGTCCGCGGCGGCGCTGGGCGCGCCCGTGGCCACGTTGTTACGCGCCGCCGCTGATATGCTCATGTCGCGCGGGAAAGTGGCGCCCGCACAGTATCTCTACTCTCTCTCGCAGGTACAATAGGTTATATTGGTACAGAACAAATCTAGTGATACCGCGAAGTTGAACGGGACAGCGCCATCTCTTGGTCAAATCGGCAACTAATACTAGTAAAGGTGTTTCACGAGCCGGGGGGCGGGGCCTACAGTCCGTGGCGGCGCTGTTACGCGCCGCCGCCGATATGCTCATGTCGCGCGGGAAAGTGGCGCCCGCGCAGTATCTGTACGAGCTGTCTCAGGTCAGTGGCGTCGTAAGCTTGCTAGTGATAGCGCTATGGTCGCGCACTCCCTTTTAATTCCAGAGCACTCATTCATTGCACTGACTTTAGGGCCTTAAACGGCTTTTCCAGTTTTACCAGTCGCCAATCTCTTGAAACTGCGCCATCTCTTGGTCAATTCGACAACTATTAACTAACAAAGGCGTTTCGCGAGCGCCTACAGTCCGCGGCGGCGCTGGGCGCGCCCGTGGCCACGTTGTTACGCGCCGCCGCTGATATGCTCATGTCACGCGGGAAAGTGGCGCCCGCGCAGTATCTCTACTCTCTCTCGCAGGTACAATAGCTTATATTTGTACAGAACAAATCTAGTGATACCGCGAAGTTGAACGGGACAGCGCCATCTCTTGGTCAAATCGGCAACTATGGACTAATAAAGGCATTTCGCGAGCCGGATGGGGCCTACTGACAGTCCGCGGCGGCGCTGGGCGCGCCCGTGGCCACGCTGCTACGCGCCGTCGCCGATATGCTCATATCGCGTGGGAAGGTGGCGCCCGCGCAGTACCTGTACTCGCTCTCGCAAGTACAATATTTTTGTAGCTTACACAGGATTAAAGCGGAACAGCGCCATCTCTTGGTTAAACCCAGAACTAAATCTAATATGGCTGTCATTCTCTCCACAAAGCCAGCTGGACGGTTGGGTGCGGAATATTGGAAGCACAAAGCAACCTAAATCTCCAATTTACTAATATTTGCCCAGAAAGAATGAAACGATACCGCGAAGTAAAACGGGACAGCGCCATCTCTTATTCAAACCTAGAACATACTAACAACGCCATTTTGCTTGCTTTCTAGAGCCAGCCAGACGGCTGGGTGACTCCTCTAGAAAAGTCACCTCAGTCTCCAAAGTACTAATATTGGCTCAGAAAAAATCTAACGTCACCGCCAAATAAAACGACACAGCGCCATCTCTTGGCCAACCCCAGAACTAACAAAGCTGTTTTCCTTCACAGAGCCAGCCAGACGGCTGGGTGGCGCGCCTAGGAACCTTCGGGCGTCTGCAGGAGCTGGCTTTATGGCGAATTAGCTCGGGCGCTCTGGGCTGCGCCGCCGTGGCCGTCAAGCTGCTAGCTTCGCTGCTGCAGTGCGCCACCCGAGATGAAGCCATCTTCGACCCGTGAGTGCTTATACTATGTATACAGGGTGTTAGGTAAATGGGGATATGAGCCGACACTAGCCCATGTTAACATGGTCATATAAATGGTTTGGTGAAGTCGGGATATCATCATATATTTTTTTTTAATTTTCATACAAAATAAATTTTATAAAATCCGATTTGTATGAAAATTAAAATAATTAAAATGAAGATATCAATTTTCTGACTTCACCATACCATTTATATGACCATGTTAACATGGGCTTGTGTCGGCTCATATACCCATTTACCTAACACCCTGTAGAATCGCTCAATCATTATCATCAGGTTATTTGGTCACTGTAGGAGTACGACGGTATAACTTTCCCCTGGGACAAACTTGACCTTCATTGGTTGGGTTTTAGTTGGCGGTCACGCTGTAGATCCTGGCTACACAGGAGTTGCAGCGGTGGGAATGAGAGTTGGGAATAGTCCCGTTTGTAGGAGCACGCATGACCCTCTTTTATTTACTAGAGGTAAATAAAAACTCAAACATACGTACGTACTCCCCATCCTGGCCGTCTAAACGGGTCGACGGGGTCTGATATTCGCATATTTGTCTCTTGATCGCTTCTTACGATATTTTTCCTATTCCAGAGTAGTATCTACAGGATAGTTTTCTTATTCTGCCGTAACCACATAACCAAGATTGAATACTATCATTCAGTCGTGTCCACGCAAGGAGTACTTATAGTAATAGAATCTATCTAGTGAACACTGTTATTACAGCTGTTGCATGAAAATGACGTATCCTATATTACTTTATCACTGTTACACTATTGATGCACCAAATCGTCATACCATTAACTTTAACCTTTTTTCCAGGAGCGTAAAGTTCACGTCACTCAGCACATTGGAACTCTCTGAACTATCATCCATAGCCGCTTCCATCGGCTTATGGGATCTAGTACCCATATTCAGCGTGCACCGAGGACAACCCAACCTAATGGTGACCGCGCTAAAGGCCCGCAGCGAACTGTGTAGAGGCGCCTTAGACTGCTTGCTTGGACAGAGATGCCTTGTTCCGTTGCTGTTGGAAGAAAACGCACAGTGGCTGTTTGACTTCCTGATTGAAAAGTGCAACAAGTTTGACACGAAGATTTTGAAGGTGAGAATAAAGTTTTTGAAACATAAAGTTAATGCAAATTTCCAAAATAAATAAAAATACTCCACCGTGCTTAATTATTTGTCGCGGGACAAAAAACTGAGGCTAATCAAATGACAAAACTACTCACTCTCTATCTTGTTCTGTAACAAATTTTCTATATGAATAACAATTAACAAATTACTTGATTACATAATGCAGTTTTTTCATTTTTTAGCGCATCTGTTTATGGTTGAATCCGTTACAAGACCAGCTGCGTCCAGTGATCCGTGATATGAAGCAAGGAATTAGTTCCATTTATGTAAGTTCTACATTTATAACCATCAAAACAGTTAAACGGGTTTTCCATACTAAACTTGTCGCTCGCACGTAATTATGTTGCTGTCGCGCTCGCACACTCACTACGGGCGCCCGTCGTACAGTCGCGACAGCAATATAATTACGCGCGAGCGATAAGGATTAGAGGTTTGCACCGGAGCGAGATTTTAACAACCGATTGAATTCACCGGTGATCGGGCAATCTCCGGTAAAAAACCGGAGATCACCGGAGAATAAAGAAATTTTGTTTCTATTTTTTAATTATACATTCAAAATGATGAAATAAGAATAAGCGATTGATATACTTTATATAATCATTTATTAAGAAAAAAAAAAACGTTTTATATTGTTAGCAAATGCTGATTTTGATTTAAGAAACACAACATGTCAACAGCATCATAGCGTAACATGTTTCTTCTATCGTTTAGTATTTATTTATTTTTATTTTACTTATTTTATTTTATTATTTATTTATTTAATTTATTTTATTTGCCTATTTTTTATTCTATTTAGATTTATTTGAAGAATATGCGCAAAGGATGACATTTTCTGACGAAGAACCAGAAGGTGATTGTGCTAGAAATATACCAAAAAAGCAACCCATAGTAATGAGCAATAAAAAGGAATGCAAACAGAAAATTACAAAAATAATCACGAATATTGCAACAAATTATTTGGCCAGTTAGTTGCTAGTGAAATGAATCACATAAACGGACAAGACCGTTTTGAATTAATGACTGAAAAAATAATATAATTAGAAAGAAACAAGGTTGTAAATAAGTGGCATGTTAAATAATTGTATAAAACAAAATATTGTTGAATGTGTCTTTTATTTGTGTTACTTTATTATATAAAAAAATAGATGCGACGATCACCGGAGATCAATCGGTTAAATACCGATTATTTCAATCGATTACTTTTACCGGTAAATCACCGGTTATTCTCCGGTACTCACTGCTCCGGTGCAAACCTCTAATAAGGATGGGTAGCTTGGGGTCATTGGACGGGATTCTACGTGCTCACGAACAAGGCTTTAGTTATTTTTTTTCTAATGATGTTATAACTAATTTCAGACAACCAGAATGCTGTATCTAATAGCGACATTCATGCACGTGGCCTCTGCTATCGAGTCTCGGCACCCCTGCCCTGATATTCACTTAGCAATCACCCAGACCGCTGAGACTTGGAAGCACCAGTTTGTTCCCCGAAGGGCCGTCAGCAGCGGCTTAGCCCATTGGGCGGTGGTGGATGATGGCAATGCCAAGGTGATGATGACGAATACGCCGGTGAATACGGAGTTAATCGGGAGGGTGATCGATGTGGCTTGCGGCAGACATCACACGCTGGTGTTAACTGAGAACGGCGTAAGTTATTGCTTGTTCCATAAATTTTGATTCAGTAGTAGTCTTACACCCGTATTCACAAACATTACTTGAGGTCTCGCAGTGCGCGTAGACGCACAGGGTCCCAAAAACGTATTCATAGACAATACTTGAGTGGCAGAGTGTCACACATATACCAATCACAGAGCTCTATTCAACGCTGTGCGTTCGCCTTCGCATAGCGTTGCTGCTTCGCGCAAGTATTGTTTGTGAATACGGATGTTTCACTTCTTGCCACTTCTTTTGCATAATTTTTGATATCAGATAGACCTTTGATACGCAGTCACTGTGACCTACCCCTACAGCATTCTACTCTCGTATTACAATTTGGCAGCCATCGCTTAATGATAGATTGCAACTGCACTCAGGAGGATTTGATGAGTGCTACTGACAACGCCACTCTTGTGGCGGAGTTTTGGGCTGACACTGTGTAGGTTTGTTGTCGACACGAAAAGAAGAAGAAGATCGGGGGCCTTTGTTCAGCAAAGTGGTCTTATGGTTTGAGTGATGATAGATCACCAATATCTATGCTAAGACTTAATAAGTGGTTGTGTAAATCCTACCATCTTAGTTACTAGTATACCACATCTCAATGATTTCCCACAGATATACTCAGCAGGGGAGAACTCCTTCGGTCAACTAGGCGTGGGCTCGGCTTGGGCGGGCGCCGTGGGTGACGCTGCAAGTTCCGCTGGGGCGTTAATGCACGTGCCGTATGAATGGACGGCACCCCTGATATCAGTGGCCGCTGGGCACTACCATTCCGCTGCTATTGATGCAGGAGGCAGACTTTATATGTGGGGGTGAGTGTATTATACAAGATAGTCTTGGTTCGAGTCTATTTGGGCTGGCTATGGGCTCAACCGCGACTCCTGATTTATTCGCCGAGGCGCTGATGCCCTATACAGGGTGTTAGGTAAATGGGTATATGAGCCGACACTAGCCAATGTTAACATGGTCATATAAATGGTATGGTGAAGTCAGAAAATTGATATCTTCATTTTAATTATTTTAATTTTCATACAAATCGGATTTTATAAAAAATATTTTGTATGAAAATAAAAAAAATTAAAATGATAATATCAAATTTCTGACTTCACCATACCATTTATATGCCCATGTTAACATGGGCTAGTGTCGGCTCATATACCCATTTACCTTACACCCTGTATATGATAAGCACATTCCGCTTAATTTGTTGAACAATAAAGTCTCCGCATTGGCTTATGTCTCGAATATTCATCTACTTACATGCATATTCGTTATTATTGTTGTAAAATCCTTTCTTCTCTTTTAGCAATAGCATTGTTTCTAATACAAGCTAAGCCACGTCAAAGGCATAAAGTGTAACAAGAAAATTTGTTTCAGATGGGGCGTTCACGGCCAACTCGGTCTCGGTAGCATTGACGATGAATGGAGCCCTAAGATGGTAACCAGATTTCAAGGGAGAAAGGTAATTAGCAATACCAATTTTACACGTAAAGTTCGCTAAACTGATGTATTATTTTTTTACGCCTGTGGCACACCTCCGCGGAGTTCCGCCGTGAAACCATGACAACGAAACGATTTCAATATACATCTCTGAAATCACATCACCACATTAGCAACGAGGCCAAGTAAATGTATATTGAAATCCTTTCGCTGTCATGGTTTCGCGGCGGAGGTGTGCTACGGGCGTTAATTTGGCTTATTCCACTATTTCCCGTTGACAATCCCCGTCAACGGGGATTAGTGTACTTTTTGTTCACTAATCCCCGTTAACGCCAATTGGAGCTTATAATGGGGAATAATGAACTAAAAAGTTCATGAGTCATGGTTTCGCGGCGAAGGTGTGCTACGGGCGTTAATTTGGCTTATTCCACTATTTCCCGTTGACAATCCCCGTCAACGGGGATTAGTGTACTTTTTGTTCACTAATCCCCGTTAACGCCAATTGGAGCTTATAATGGGGAATAATGAACTAAAAAGTTCATTAATCCCCGTTATATTAGGATTTTATTTTTAACGTAATGGGGATTAATGAAATTTTCAGTTCATTATTCCCCATTATAAGCTCCAATTGGCGTTAACAGGGATTGTCAACGGGGAATAGTGGAATAAGCCTTTAATTTGAAGGATGTAGTAAAGTTAATAACATACTGAATTATTTAGTCGGCCGTTTGGTGTAGTGGTTCGAAACGGACTACTATTCCGGAGGTAGCGGGTTCGATTCCCGCATAGTACAAACATTTGTGTGCATGAACATATTTGTTTGTATTGGACTGGGTGTTTTCTATGTATAATAATAAGTATGTATTTACAAAAAAAAAGTATTTAAGTATGTTTATATCCGTTGTCTAGTACCCATAGTACAAGCTTTGCTTAGTTTGGGACTAGAAGCGCAGTGTAAAATGTCCAAGGATATTTATTTATATTTATTTATTATTTTTATATTCTGTAGGTTCTTATCGTCGGTTGTGGAGCCTGTCATACGGTGATGTTGATGCGTAACGGCGAAGTTTGGGCGTGCGGCGCGGCCGTGTTTGGGCAACTGGGTTCGGGCAACCGGGAGAAGAGCTCCGTGCCGGTCCGAATTACGTTCCCTGATGCTATTGACGCTATAGCGGTTGGATACTTCCATAACGTGAGTTGTTACTTTCCCATATTGATGAGCATGCAAGGGTAGTTGTGGGTGGGTGATTTTGAATTGTGAATTGAGTGTTGTTTCATAATAAAAAAATCTTCTAGCCTAGCCCTTTCCCTACGGGCTCTCGGAAACCAAAGTGCGTCTCAAATACGGAGTATTTTTGTCAAAATTTTTGCTCACTTTACATCAAGATATTTTAAAAAGTATGAGATAAGTCTCATACTTTTATAATAATAAAATATAATATAATATTCCGAATTTCTATACCGTAAGCGGTACAGAAATTCGGTATATTATATTTGCAACTAATGTAGTTTCGTAATTATATGCTCTGTTTACACTTCATTTGCAATTTTTTTGTTTATCGTAAGTCGTGATTTAGATTTGTTTGCCACCCGTATTGAGAAGTGACTTTTACCATTATGGCATTAATAGGTGCTTCCCGTAGGGAAAAGGCTAGAACGGGTAAAAATAGGTACACCAAAAGTTGTGTCTTGAGATTATTATCGGTCACCAGAACTGCCTTATATAGGTGACCCACGCTGAACTGTCCCACCAAACTCAATGACAGGGGGGCGCTACCATCGTTCAACTATATGGTTTCCAACATGGCAAAAATCGGAACTAGCGATCCGGTATTGACGGTGGCGCCCCACTGTCAATGTCAGGCATAGGACAGTTCAGTATTTTGGAACTATATTATTGATGCTGTCATTCCGTAGTTGGCGTTATCGTGCAAAGGGCAGCTATATACGTGGGGAGCGAGCCCGCAGCAGGTGCGAGCGGCGNGCTCTTGGGTTTTGCAATATTTGTTTTATGTTTAAGGTTAAGAATAAATAAACAAAGAGACCCTGTGTTATGTATTTATTTGTTTTATTTAAATAAAATTGAAATAAGATATAAAAATTAAGAATTTATTATAGTTCCTTATTAAAAAATTAAACATATTGATTAGGATTTTTGTTTTATTCCATTGCTATTTCAGACACATAAACCTAAAATGAACCATCTAACTAATAGACCAGCAATCAGATATCAAAACGTTTTAAGTATTTATTATATTAATTATTGAAATTCATTAGGTATTTCTTCATAATGTCATCAATTCTAAGTTTGCGGAGTGATTTTTATATTTGGAGATTCATTTCTCAATTCCGTGATTCATTTTCTCAATTCGGTGCTCTCTCAATTCGATACTTAAGATTTCTCATAAACCACTTCACAATATTTAGTGACAATGCTATTTTTACATTCAGAATGGAGTAACATTTATTTTTTTGTATTGAAACTACTTAAAAAACTAAATATAAATTTTAGCACCGAATTGAGAAAAAATACACCGTACAGTAGAAATGCCCTTATATCCTTCCTTACCCGCCAGTCGATATGTCTACACATAAAAACACCGATTCTCACTTCGCCAATCATCGTGCAAAAACATTTCCGTCAACAATTTGACTGGTCATCACTGAAATTATTGGGAATTACTGTCGCTGTTGGAAATACTGACGCTGCCGAACAAATTCCTTACGCGATGAATACAAAGTACTATGTGACGATATTTATGACGTCTAGTATGGAGCGTTTTTGGGTAAGTCCATTACACAGTGATAAATATCTCGGGGAGTTTTTTTTCATACCGAAGTAATTATTTCACCAATTTTTCTATTAAAGAGAGGTCTATCTTTGAAGAACCTAAAAAAATTACATGATGCCCATTGAAGAGACATTTTGATTGTTTAATTTTAATGAACAAATGAAACAGCGCAGTGTCTACAGCAGTGATAACTGATAATCGATTCTGTTTGCACCTCAAAATATACATATTTCTGGCTCTATCATCTACACTAATATTATAAAGAGGAAAACTTTGTTTGTTTGGTTGTAATGAATAGGCTCAAAAACTACTAGACCGTTTTTAAAAATTCTTTCACCATTCGAAAGCTACATTATCCACGAGTAATATAGGCTAAATTTTATTTTGGAAAAAAATAGGGTTCCGTAAAATATGTAGATAATGTTGTTGTACGATGTCGCGCGAAGCCGCGGGCGGAAAGCTAGTAAGCAATAAAAGCGACAGAAAATATGATAAGCCGGAGGTTATCATTAAATAAATCGATCTTAGCATGATCATAACACACAATAATTTAGCTGATGATATTGATTCTAGTCCCAGTGACGACCATCAAAGGTATCGTTTGTGGGAAATCCCATCAATTTTCCGTCTAACAATAGGTATGGGTTCATGTATCAATGATACAAGTTGCAATTTATAAAACAAATCCAACTACATAATCTTGAAATCAGAAATGGAATATCCNTGAAATGAAGTTTAGAACTAGGCTTTTGAATGGTACCAATATTGGTGTGAAGTGGGGATGCATACGTTTGAAAGTGCTTGTCGCGGGTGGTGCGATTTATTTGCTGTCGAGTGTAGGTTTGACGACCTATGAATGAAGAACCGAGGTTTAAAGAAACCTTTTTAATAGTGGAAGTCATAGGTCGTAAGAAAGTATGCTAAAGCCCTCTTTACCTCTTTCCATTGCATTTGAGGATAAATAAACCGGCGTTGGAAACTAGTAAACTAAATAAGAAGTGTTACGCGTAACCGCAGTGATTGTTTGTAATCGGGTGCCATTGTCGTTCACCGTTAGCGAGACGGGTTGATAGCAATCACAGTTCAAAACTTTAGTTGATTGCAGGTTGACAAGTTTAGTTGTTGTTGTTTGAGTACCTAATTATGGTATTAAGTATTAAGTCGTCTATGTAATTCAAATTGTATCAAGTTTCAAACTTTCTTTTAACAATACGTCTACAATATAAATTATTCAATGTAAACAAGCGTTCACGGATTTGTTTATCGTATTTGCGTTAAAATATAGGTACGATTAATACTTATATTTTTTATCATTTTCAACACATCATTTCTGATTGGATGCTATTAGAGCGTCTAACGTTAATGTCTAGCTAAAACAATTGTGACTTGTTAGGCACAAAAAATAAGATTCATCATTCAATCAGGAATTCTCGTCTCATTGAGCTCTATCTTGAAACATAACAAAAATATTCATTCTTTATTTATCTCAACAATAAATAAATAAACAAACAAATATCGATCCACTACCTGAGATCTTGTGCAGGTATTGATAAATAATATTATAGATTTGCAAAATATTTATCTCGGTCACATAATAATAAATCGTCGAACTGACAAAGATTAGAACTTATTGCAGATTCGTTTTTCGATGCATTATACATTTGTTCAACCATACTTATCGTAGAAAAATGTTTACACAATTTCTGATTCCTATTCTAGAACAGAAATAAAAAAATAATTTTAAAAATTATTTCAATATAATAACAGCAGCCACACTCGTGTTTGGTATGTTAATGTATTTGAGATAACGTTCAGTACTAAAATATGGCATGTATTTAAATGATCTTTTTAAATTAGCAAAAACGGCAAATAAAAAAATCTAAATGGTCATCTATTTTAATGATTGATCCTCTTTCTTTGAGACATAAAATAAACGAAATCGATCGATATTTTAACCTCTTTTGAACTACGCAAAAAAAAATTGAGATGTAAAAATTATATCTGATCGTTACTTGTTGGTCCTCAAAAATAAAAGAAATGAGCACCAAATATTCAATATTGTGATACTTTTTTAAATAATTCGATTTGTATAAATTATTTTTTATCTATATCAAATAATCTTCAAAATAATTATGTTATGGTACTTATTTTTATTAAGTTGTAGTTGTCGCAGGCAAATTGTATGATTCCGCATTTTACAAACGGCGTCGTCAGTTTACAAACGCTCGCTGTTATATGAAATGCCGAAGGCAAATTGGCGACTCGTTCAATTGATAAAATTTCGACTATGATTGTTGCAATAGGGTGACCATCATAAAACACATGTTGGACAAATCAGACTTAATTTCAGAAATCAGGTAGGTATCTTTCAGGTAAGACAAACCTAAGATACTTGCTACTCCTAAAGTAATTAAAATATTTTCGTAATAAAAACAACACTAAACTAATTTAAACTATTGACGTACGTACCTATAGGTAAAACTATGACATACAATAAGTTTCGATAGTCGGTCCTTTAATTCTTACATTTTAATTATACCTAGAAGAAGTCTAGAAGACAACACAATATTTTTTTAAACCAATAATATTCCGCAGCAGTCCACCACCAGTCCGAGCACCAGATTCCATTGTCACCTTAGCGTTTTTTACGTGCCGGATAACCTCAAAAACTATTTCATTTTTCCATAGCTTTTTCACTGCTCCTATTTATGAATCGTAAAATATTTTTAATTCACTAAGTATAATCAATGTCTTTTTATGTGAAAAGTCCTTTGAATACGTAGAATTTGCACTGTTTTCTGTATCACAACACCACGACTCGACGCCATTTTTCTTGTTTTGATTAGCAGCGCCTCGCGTGGTAAGAAAAAGAACTAAATACTTCAATTTGCCGCGGCATTTTGTAAACAGCAATTGAATTGGCTATCAAATGTTTTGGCATATTATAAAGTGCCCAGGCAATTTACATTTTGCCTTCGGCATTTCATAGAGCAGCGAGCGTTTGTGAACTGACGACGCCGTTTGTAAAATGCGGAATCATACAATTTGCCTGCGACATAGTAACCAATGACGGACGATTGTCACTCAACCACAAAGTACCGCGTACATTAAAAGATATTTTTTAATTAAAAATATTAACCAATAATATTTTTTGTTTGATCAAATATATTTTAAAGTTAAGTTATACATAGATCGAAATGTATTTATTAGGTGATCAATATTAAAAGGCAAACTTGATATAAAAATCATCAAATTAACAAAATTAAAGATCAATAACTAAAAAAGAGGATCAAATATTATTTTTGTTTACCAAATATTAAAAGAGTATGTTAAACATAAATATTATGTTACCTTTAATGAAGATCATTCATAATTTATCCATAGATCAACTAATATAGACCCAATAATTAATACAAAGATAAAATATAATAAAAAACATCATTTATTTTTAAAAGTGCACATACAAAAAAGATCAATTAGTTTTTAGAGGATCAAATAATATTGTCCCCTAAAATATCTGTTCATAAAAAGTAGTGACAGAATCAGAATTATTAAACTACTATTCCACTTATTTATATTCACATAAAAACAAAGTTGTTATACAATCGGTCGTCGTAACTATGTAAATATATTTCAGTAAAGTAACTGTATTAAATATATTAGCACACGCTTCATAAAAAACCGCTAGATCGCATGCGAGCTGAATATTGTTTGAATCAATATTTTCTACACTTTTACAGTTACCGACTACCGCATGTATTTTAACGACACAGTGCATTGGCACATTGGCATGGGCGTACCCAGCTATATCAGCTTCTGACCCTGGGTGGGCAAGTCAGATTTTTCAGGTCAGATATTTTGACTTAGTTCTTTCAAAACGACTTCAAGAGACAAGGGGGGCAATTCCTCTCTAATTTACCAGGGAAAAAAGGGAGAATACACCTCACGCGGAAACGCTCTGACCAAAATAATTAGAGCGGGTTGGAATAAATCACATTATTGCAATTTTAAGTATGCCAATATCCACACTTATAACAAAGTCAAAAGTTAGGTCAGCCTCTTGCAGAATAAGTCAGCTGAACTTGTCAAGAAAAAGAAATGGGTGGGTTGGCGAAACTCATCAATAAATGGCCAGTTGACAGTTCTTTGGCTCGCTGTCAACGAGTGGGTAGACTCTTACTTTTATGACGAGCTATTATACTATCACATCGCAATGCAACGCCAATCCGAGCCAGCCTTCAGTCATCATATCGAAGTGTTAAATTACGAAATTAGAGAGAACTACAAAAGGCGTCTAATTCTAGATTATTTCAGTCTAATGCTAACCTGGTTTTGCGGAAAATATTTCCAATATTTAGTGTTGAATTGCGATTCAAGTCTGAGCAAACCTATTTGCAATCATGGAATGTAGCCGTCTATCGCCTACTGAGCAATACCTAATACTGGTTTACAATTGCAAATTAATATAAACATGTATATTCCTACATTTAGCAGGCGATTGTTGCAAGATCGCAAAGCTTCTTTGTATTCCGCGAGAGATCAACCAAACAAACTTTGACCAAGGTCAGCCTTAAGGTTGGTGTAGTCACGTATAGGAAGTGATTCGATACGTGCGAGTACGTATACCAATTATTTTTAAGTGGCTGCCGATTAGCGACCCTACTTAGGTTCGTATTAAGAAGATGATAATAATAATAATTTTGTGGTTGGTGTTTAATTAGATACCTAATGAGCTGTGGGCATTAACCAGCTGGTAAGAGATCTCGAATTCTAAATACTAATTAAGTTTAGATTTGATACTGCAAGAGTAAAATAGCTATCTTTTTTTAACTTTAGCGTTTTTTGGATAAAGTACAGAATCAGAAGAATTCGAATAAGATTTGTAATTCTAAAATTTATTTTCACAATCAAACGGATTATTTATTTAAAAATTACGCCACAAGCCACAATGCAGCGAAGCGAATAATAAGATCCATTTCCCTAAGTGAAAACCACTCAGACATGGTCATTGACAACTGAAAGGAGTGGTCAATCTGTCTATCACTAGTTGACTTCACTTTCCTCAGGTGTGTGGTCAGAACACATAACTTTCACCGCAGGGAACTCACTTACTATACTTACACCCGTATTCACAAACGATGCTTGCATAAGTGAAGCAGCAAATCGAACGCACAGCGTTGAATAGAGCTCTGTGATTGGTTCGTGTGTGACCCTGTGCGTCCACGCGCACTGTGAGACCTCATAGTAATGTTTGTGAATACGGGCGTTCGTTAATCTCTACGCACGAGTGAGTGAAACGAACCGAAGTTAAACCCGCAAAAATTGTTAGACCAACCAAATCGAAAGTACCGATTGTTTTAAATTATTTTGCGGCATATAACGTATGTCTATTGCAACAAATAAATTAAACATTAAATGTTACTTCTAGCTTGCCGTCAATATCTGATTAGTATTGTTGTATTATTTTATATTGGGATAATAACTTTCACGTTCATTCTAAGTTTATTACGTAATATCTAATCATTATGTTCTTTAGATGACGTGTAGTGAATACAGTGTAATTGTGGCCGTCAAAGTAATGATAGCTGTCGAGACTAATTACTGTGATGGCTCAGTGCTTTCAGTGCAGCCGGTCGCATAATCTCTAGCTAGTGACTAGAAAGGTCGAGAAAAGTCTAGGACCTATTTATTTACCTTACATTTGTACGACATATCTACTTTAAATTTTTAAATGGAAGTTATGTACAGACAGACTACAGCACATCACGCGAAAATTTTTAGTGGTAGTTTTCAACAAATATGTGACAATTTAAAACTTTCAACCGTTTAAAACTGTAAACTTTCTTTCATAGTGCAGTTTAAAAACTCACCGGTAGACACAGCGTTGTTGATCCGCCGCCTGATGGTCTCTTCCTCGAAGGAGTACATGTAGTACTCCTCATTGAGATCCCTGAGGAACTGGGGCTTGACCAGCACGCCGCCCACAACGCCGAAAAGCCGCACGAAACCCAGCGGCGTAAATACTGGTGGAAAAAACAAGTGAATTAGTTATACGAAGTCGCACAACGATGTTTAGGGATCTATTTATTATAGCAAGTGGACATAAAAATCGAAGAGTTATAATAACTGTAGTACTAGTAGCCCGATGTGGAAGACTGTAAGTTATCGGCTCTAAGCCAGTAATCTATGTCAAGTTCAAGAAGACAAGAAAGGAAAGTTCAGTAAAAGGAGAAAAAGATGAGAGAGAAATGAAGAAACATTTTACTAAATTCTATGGTCAGATCACGGCTGAGTTATAAATCCTTTTTCCGCATTAAAATATTTTGAAAACGTTGTAACCTCCTTTAGCTAACTCTAAACTGGCCAACACATTAAAGAAAATAGGCCGTCGCTTTGACAACGGTTGCTATGTACGCGGTTACGTCAATGTGAATTGTGAAATTGTAAACATACACAAAAGAGAATATTACAGTGACTGACCGATAAAGTAAAGCGTTTCAACATAATTATAATTAATAAATAAATAAAATAAATAAACATGAGCCTACAAAAAATATTGGCCAATCCTGCTTTGAAAGACCACGCCACCCTGGAGCGCGAAGAAGAGTTCAACAATTTCATGAAGAGGGTCGGCGAAGTATCAACCTTGGTGAAAGACATGGCTAGCGGGGACAAGACTAGGGCCGATGCAGCCAAGGCCTTGGCTGATCAGTACCTGGGTGGGAAAGTCATCTTGGATGACGATATCAAACTGAAGGTCAAAAGTGACAGAACCGTGATAAACACCAATGCCTTCAAAACTCTCGAAAACAAGGACCCGGTAAGACTGTTATGAAATTGCTAACAATGCAAAAACTTGTGGCAATTGTCCAAAATACATCATCTCTGCATACTGCGACTTAAAGAATGAAGAAGAAAAAAACTAATTTGTGTTTCGTAAACTAGTTCTTCTAACGGTATCTTGGCGATTACTTGTTCGGCTTATAGATACTATTACAAGTTTTTATAAACCACTATCACAGCCACTATAAGATGCCAAATTATATTATTGTATCAGCTGTGATATTCAGTACACCTGCGAAAATATTTAGGTCGCGTCGCATTTGTTAATGGGTGCGCATATCTCAACGCATAAACGTGATATTGACCGATCATATTGTTTTGCGAGTGAAAGCGATTTGGCGCAAGTTCTTCTATAAATAAATGTCTCGCTCATGCATGTGTTATTCTATTTGTAGATTTATGAGGGATTTCTGTATTAATTAAATTAAATAAGCAGGTAGTAGATTTAAAGCAATTAGGCTCTTTTCTTTTGCAGAGGAAGAGTTTGCATAACGCAAATGAAACTTAAGCTTTGAAGTAGCGACAGCCGCCCCGGTAATGAGGCACCTACTTTCTCACGAGTTCAATAAATAATTGGCAGCACACTCGAACAAAATAAATGTCAGTAGTTAATTCAGAAAATAGAGTTCTTTTCTATTCTTGTTGGGCCTCGGCGTTCAAAATAACGACACTTGGAAGTTTAAAAATATAATGCGTGGCCATGAGTGTTTTGAACAGATCTATTTATGGTTCATAAAAGCTAAAACAAAACAGATTTATTAGTCGACTGTTTACAATAAAAAAATCTGTTTACATTAAATATTTAGAATTTATAATTAAGAACACAAGTGAATTCGTCTCGTGTTATTTTAATTTCAAAGTAATAAAATCTCGATCCTATCATTGCCAATATCTTCTTGATTACATTAAGTCGGTCAGTACTAACGAGTATACAAGAACAGTGATTCAAACACCGCAAGCTAACAAAGATACATAAAAGATGCGATTAGCTTCAGAATTACAAACGTAGAGGGTCAACCGACTTATTGTCGTCCACATGCGGTCAAATTATTTTTTATTTTTAGGCTGTAATGGACAAAGACGCATGGATGGCCGAGGTTAGCAAGGACGCGGAGAAGCGGGCCCTCGACCGCAAGATCCGGCGGGAGAAAGCTGATACCCTCAACACCCAGGCCATCAAGGCGTTCCGTCGCGGGGAGTACGACAAGGCACTCTCTTGCTACAACCGAGCCATAGAGCACGTCAAAGACAACCCCATGTTATACTGCGATCGGGCTCTTACTAACATCAAGCTGGGGAACTTTGAAAAGGTAAATGTCATTCTAGTTTAACGCTTTTAAAACCTTTGCCAATGAAATATGTGACTGACCGGACCATTCATATCAATATAGAACCCTCTCGCCTTGAATAGAGTTTTTATTTATAATCACGCTCGATTGACGGGACGTTGCGAAACAATAGTCAGAGGGTGATGGCGTGGTACGAAATAGGGCAAAGGGCCTTTGTTAACAGCTATGGACGTGTGACAGCACAAAAAGGAATGCGATGGTTGCATTCAATACCTCTACATTTTTTTGTCCTAGCGACTATTAACGGACAATGCTATCGGAATCTAAGGAACAAGATGTAACTTTGACATTGACCTTTAAAAAGGAGCAGAGTAAACAAAATCCATGAAAGATTCTGAATATTGACTCAACGACCGGTCACAGTCCTCAAACGATCCGTTACCTGCCTACATAATCGTCTTGATTGTCCAAATTGGTCGCATTATATTTAGATACTTTCGTGCTAACTTTCTTTATATTTATTTATAGACCCAGTTTGCAAACATCATGCATGATATACGTAGTTTACAATGCTGCCAGGCATAATAAGATAAAATATGACACCGGACTTAGTGATTTGCGCATCATTTTTAACTGTAGTTAGCTGCGATGATTATTACTTAAAAAATGTTTAACACGTAAAAACATGTTTTAAAGCCGCGAGCTATAATTAAAACTTATTTTAGGCTCTAAATAAAATGTGTCAAGTCAAATAATTACATGGGTTATCTTATCCGACTCGCAGTTACAATTCAACTAACACGTTCGCCACGCACCTATATTGTTGATGTCCCTTTATGTGACACGCATATTTTGTTGGCAAAAGGCATTAACCTCGTTACCTGGAAAAACATCTTTTCCTTATTTAGAAAATAAACATTTATTTAACAAACGGTAGTGGTAGAAAATCTAAATGCGAGCATAGGTATTCTATAATTAGAAACATGAATCAGATTAGCTACCTAGTAACTTGGACTGGAATCGCGTTGTCTTCGTTATCTTTTTGCTAAAAGACGATAGAGGCAATCCCAGCCAGATAAAGATATTAACTTTTCCACAAGGCTAGCCTTAACAATGAAAAAACGTGCGACAAGATATGATATCTGCACGTTTTTGGCTGGCTTTTGTTTTATAATTGAGTTCTTTTTTCAATGTTTTAAAAAAATATTTTAACTCTGTGGTAACTGGCATACGCACAAACCGTTCATGCGAAAAAAAAAGAAGAAAAAAAGTGAAGATCATAAACAAATGATCGAGTCACTGAGCCGTTGACGGTTCTTTCACCCCATTCTGATAAATTTTACCCTTTACAGGTTTTCACCGACTGCGAGTGGGCGATTCGTCTCAACGAGAACAGTTTCAAAGCTCGCCTCTACGCGGCAAAGGCACACAAAGAGCTGGAGGATATGGGTAAATACAATGAATGCAGAAAGGAGCTGGACGACATGTTTCCCCAGCATGATGACTTGATCAAATACTTCTTGGATAAGAAGGAAGGCGGCTATGGTGATGAAGAAGAAAACTAATATGTTACTTAGTTGGAAGATTCTTAACGTTTGGTTTCTTCTACATTCAAAGAATAATTAGTTAATCTAGTATTATTTATTCTGTTTGTTTTGTTGTCTAATAAAATGTTCTCTTTAAAAGTAGCTAATTATAAAAATACAATGAATGAAAAACGTTTAATGTAGAACTATTATTCATTTTATAAAAAAATATTTCGTAACATTGTTAATTTTTTTCTTATCTATTTAAGTCCTTGTTTCGTAACCACGTGTCCTAGTTTTATGAAATTTTACGACATATGTATCGTCGTCGTACTTAGTTTAACTGATTAATGTAATAAATAAAAAATAGTATACTATCAGTGTGTAATTTAATTTCGTAACAAAATGTTGATATAATTGAAAGCGATAAGGCAATGATTGATAAAACAATCTATCGATTAAACTTTCCACTTGATCTAGATTTGATAAACGTCTTTTCTTTTAAAATAGAGTAACCCTGAAGAGTTACCTGATGAAATTGTTTAGCAGAGATAGCTTGGACATAGACGACGCTACATCAAGCTAAATACTGCAGCATCTAAGGGCTATATTTCACCGGGACACCATGGCGGCGCAACCAGTCGCCGGCTACCAATAAAATGTCCCGGTGAAATATAGCCCTAATTCAGTTGTAGGTAGTGTAGTGGTGCTATTTTTCAACAAAACTGTGTAAATTGTTTTGCTGCCGACTATATTGGCTTCTTTGACGCTAAATATGTATAATTTAAAGAACTGAAAATATGGGATGCAATTTTGTATGAGACTTTGCCAAGAAAAGTGTAATATATTTCATACACTCGTGAAGGGTTATTCAATGTATAAGTACATACTTATTTAAAAATAAAATACAAAAAACACTTACCTAACAACATGAGGACTCCCACAAAGGACACGCATGAATACAGGAAAGGCAGGTATGTCCATAGATCTGTTGACAAACAATACTCTATCTAAAATATGTTAACCTCTACCATGTTAAGCGCCATCTTGCGNTGTTAATGACCTGAATCATCGACCGTCAACTATTATCTAGGTTGACACTTAGCGTTATCTTTTGTGTCATTAAACCTACATTCAATTACATAATCGTGTTAATTTGTATGTAACCTCCACCTAGTTACACATATCGTCCACTTGCGACGACAGTGTTACATGTCGAACTATAGTATAGTTAAAGTTAACGATATTAAAGATAGACATGCCAATAAAAGCCATGCTTATAAGTAATCATCATCATCATCATAATACGTCGGGCTATGTCAGCGACTTTAGTTCGTTTACGGATCTCCTCATTTCTGATTCGATCTCGTAAAGAAACACCGAGCATAGCTCTGTCCATAGCACGCACGCATATACATAGCATTATAAGTAATGTCTGTTTTCTTCTCTTCTTTTTATGTAGTTCGACCCGGGCATCAAAACTATGATCCGAAGATCGTTAAAACTCTCCCAAAACACTGGACCACAGAAAAGCCAAGACTAGCTTCATAAACTCGCTAGTTAAACTGCTCTATAGAGATATTAATTTCTGTTTGAACTCTACGGAGCTATTTTAAACGATACTTAATAGCTTTATTGTAAAACCACGGGGTTGATTAACTCATTAAGTGCTCCTTCCATCGACATAATTAGCCCAGTACCTAGAAGTAGGTAACCGAATCATCCTTCTTACGTGTTTTGTAACCAAGCAGCGATTAAAGACGTTAGTACAACTACAAAAGTACTTAGAAAGATTAGTAATGATTGATGTAAAATTAATTAGCTATTAACCTAATGTGCCTACTCTTTTCTACTTATCAATTTCTCGAACACTCAATCGCGTTATCGATCAATATTCGATAAATTAAATCTTCAAAAATATCTCGAAAGAAGTTGTTCATACAACGAGCTACATTTGATAACAGTGCTGCAGATTGCAGCACAATTTAGGGCCCATTGGGTTTGTTATTGTGACATAGCATCCGGGCTGGGTGCGCGCGCGCCTAACATTGACTTCCAAACAATATCAGCGCGCCATTCACGCACAATTAAACATGAAAACAACGCTATCCATTTTCTAGAAGAGTACTGTATGATTTAGTCAGTGCACATGATAATGGAGGTACATATTTTACGGTTAAATGCGTCAAACTTTTGAAGGTTAAGGGTACAACGCTGCGTGACGCTATGCCCCTGCATAACCAAAGAGACTCGTTGTGTAGGTAATTTCATTGTATTACTTTTCATATTCTAAGAAGACTAATATGCAAATAATTTTCCTTGCAAAAAACACTTGAATACACATGTGGTTCTTCCATGAATAGTATCATTGTATCCTTTACTAGAATCAGCACGTTTTACGGAAAAGGTGATAACTGACGATCAAAATATCGAATGATTAAAATATCGAAAAACCAATTTAGAGGTTTTAATTAAATGTCATACGATTAATGTAAATAAAACAAATTCTTAAACACATTTTTTATATCCCACTTTTGGGTACCATAGTCCACAAGGAACCCTTACCTCCATCTTTCCATACTATGCAACATAAGATCGACTTTCGATATTTTAATCATTCGATATTTTGATCGTTCGATCATTTGTAAATTCGATATTCTGAACGTTCGATATTTTGATCGTTCGATATTCTGATCGTTCGATATTCTGATCCTTCGATGAAACGTGTTCGATTCGATATTTTGATTTTCGATCATTTGTAATTCGATATTATTATGGTGTAGGTAACCCGCAAAGCTAGTACTAGGCATACAATGATTTCATCTGAGAAATGGGTGGCAATTTCATCTTATTTTTCCTCAAGCCGACTACAATGTACCTACCGCCTGACTTCGTGTGATTATGGCGATAGATAATTATGCTGATCGATACACGCGATTCCGAATTCATAACATCGCTCCAAATTAATTAAGACAAATGCTTGCACGGGAACCGGGGCAAGAATGCAATAACGAAATTGGAATACCACCTTTTGTGTTTCTGTAATGCTGTAGCTGTAGGTAGTAGAGCTTTTAGTTGATATCTTTAACAGAATCAGATGATCTTTGGATTTTTTGTTTTTAATAATTTTAACGGTACATATTATGGAAAAAGAAAACTTTGCTTTTAGTAGGTACCTTTTTTTTCTCGAGCTTATTGTATGAGACAGTTTTTGTCTGCATCTCACCTCATGAAAAACATGTTTTAAAATTTCAAAAACGAGAGTAATATTTCAATGAGCGTATGCGCTTTCTTGTTTTATAATGGTCATAAAAGAGTACCTATAACAGCATTATAAAAATGTACTTACTAAGCAAAGCATCAATACTGGATCGGTCGCCTTCCAGCCAGGCGGAGATGACGTAGGCCAAGCCGAGCATGCCTATCCCGAGCAACGCGAGCACCACAAAGGTCTCGTATACGCGGCCTCGCAGACCCCGGCAGCCGGGGAAGCCCGACGACTCCGAGAACAAGTAGGCGAAAGGCAGGAACACGAACATAGACAAGTTTGAGAACAGGAACACGTGGTTCCACAGCCCTGTAACAAATGGTACATGTCAATAATACATCAGAGTAGTGTTATTTGAGTGTATGTATAGTCTGGTCCGTAAGCACGTAGAATTTTGTCCAATGACCCCAAGCTACTCTACGCTCGCACACTCACTGCGGGTGCCAGTCGCACAGTCGCGACAGCAATATAATTACGCGCGAGCGATAAGGATGGGTAGCTAGGGGTCATTGGACAAAATTCTACGTGCTCACGGACCGAGCTTTAGATAATCCTAACTCGACGCCTATGCACACATACCATACGGATGTAGAGGACGTAGATAAATAGTGATGGGAGGGACTGCAAGAAACAGTTCTCCCTCATGGTTCCGTAAATGAAACAAAATAACGTTCGTGCATCATGGTAGTTTTAATTCTGAAATTGCTTTGCTCTGCCTTTTTTTTCTGCTAGTTCTTTCCTTCAAGCTATCGCGAAATTGAAACTGTCACGAATATTACTTAATCTAGTGGGCGGGCAGCTTTCGCTAGGAGGCTAAGTGCGTTCTGCAATCGCTATTGAGGCCACTTGGGCCTACTAATCTAAGGGCCTACAAAAAAATTATAAAAATGTAACGAATTACATGAAAGAAGACTACTCACGCCACGCTCACTGTTTAACAGAGACTTTAACAATACTTATCCTGAGATAAATGAAAATAGGATCCTGTTGCTGAGATTGTGTAAAAAAAATAATGAACATATTATTTTGTCAAATGAACATGTTCAGGTGCTAAACAAAATATATTTATGTTCAGCCATTGAATACACACAGTACACTTGTACACACATTTTTGAGGTAGTATGATATACGTAACAATTACTATGTTTACATCATCTCATTGATCCAGCACTACAATATGACGTCAAGGTCTGTCAGACAAAAGAACAATGCTCAAAAGCTACGTGATTATATCAAATAGTAGAAACAATGTGAGCATCAGGCATGGGTTTTGAAAGATAGTAAAATGATGGTAAGTTTGTACAATACCAACACACACATAAAATAATAAATTAATTTAATGAGCTATAATTTTCAAGTACTTTTATGACACTTAATATACATTTTTCTTCATAGCATTGGACAACTGGCAATAATAATGACATAGGTTTAAAGTATGTTCAACAATTATATTAATTTTATTATGTTTGATGTAGAGGTAAGAAAGATATTCCCTAACAAGTGGAAATTTAAATAATTCAACATTTTTAATTACAAATAGACAGGGAAGTTATTAAAGTTAGATACTATAAATAATGTTAACTTACCTTGTATCAAGGAACTGTTGAGCCATTTCACATAATAGCTGTTTGGGTACAAAATCAGCACTTCGTTACTGACTATTGACACTGGCAGCAAGAGTGCCGAACCCAAAGAGACCGCCAGGGCGAATGTGCAGAGCCAGAGGCTGATCCGATATACTTTGACTTCATCTTCGTCTGAAGTGAAGTAATCTTCGCCATCGCGCCGGCGAAACTTCTCAATTAACATAAACGACAGGAGATACAGTAAGATAAATAGTAGTAGGAAGATCTGAAACAAATAATCGTCATCAAGCCCCAGTTTTTAATACACTTTGACATGTTACAAAAGGTCAAGCTCAAAAACTGTGGTGATTGCAACGTTATCAGTGATTGCCTAAATAAGGAGGCACATATAACTTATAAATCTTATAGTATAAAGAAATTAATTTACTGATCTTGCAACCTAATCTAGCAATTTGACCATCTGGCCAAAACATGATGATTTACAATGAGAATACAAATAATAATTTGGGAGTGTTGTCAGAATTTAATTTTAAGTTAAAATTACATTTATTTTGTTGCTGCTTTATTTAAAACGAACTCATAAATTGCTTACGCTTTTTAAAATAATGTAAACCAGTGAACCTAGGAAAAATCGCAATTAATAATAACATAAATTGAATGATTCGAGGATAATAGTTACTTGGATGATTTAATTAATTATCTCAAACATGCATTTTTTACTTCTACACAATGATATTAGTTCTTTAATATCATTGCTTCTACATAAAAAAATATTTATAAATTTAAATAGTAGTAAAATAAATTAATAAATATTTATAGTAAAATATTAACCTGACATCCAGTAATTACCAAATAGAACAATAGAACTCTATTTTTATTAAGGATAAAGGTAATTGAGATTGAGGAAATAAATCTGTTAGAATCATTGTAGAAAAAAAACGGTAGCGACTTTAGGGTCATTCCATCGTTTCGGGTGTTACGTTCGTACACACATATTCAACAATTTCATGTATTTAGAAATAGTATTTTAATAGTGTTAGTGCCTTAATCTGTCCGTTTTTAGTTGTTTTATCTAAATAATAAAGTTTGTACAGCTTAGAATGTAGGATAACGAAAATATGAGTCGAAAAGTGTGCGTTTCGGGCGTTACGAGATTTTGCCTCTATGTTCTGACTGTTGCTGCATTTGCTCGAAATTTAGCGAATTTTCTTAAGGAATCATACCTAAAACTTACAGGACTTCTAAAGTATGAAATTTACAAACCATATAACATACAATCACTGTTACATAAAACGTTTTACTATTTTTTTATACATTTTTTCTTTGTTTCGGGTGTTACAATGGTTCTGTTTCGGGTGTTACGAGTACGAAAATTCAACGCGTTTTATCGACAAAATCGGTGTTTTTTTAGTCTCTAGGTACTACGAAATAAGGAGTACAACAAATAAACACAAATAGAGTGAATTCTGGTTTGAAATTACGAAGCAGCTTTTTTTAAAAAATATACAAAGTTCAAGTTTAATTTTTCCTCAAAATATAGCTTTTTCTATTGTTTTTGGCTTGAAATAGCATTACTTTAATTTATAATTACGATATTTATTGGAAATGTCGCACATCGAGACTTTTTAGCAATACCTTAATTTTAGTGTTAAGTCAACATTTCAAAAAAGTCTTAAATAGAGAAATATGACTCGTTTTCCGATGCCAGCGCTAGAGGGAGGTGGAAGAACCCTCACAGTACTACTTTTTGACTTCTCCAAGCAATATACACACATTATCGACATTAAATAAAAATGTGATACCCGAAACGTTTCGGGTGTTACAGTTTTTAATCAAGAAAAAAACACCCTTAATTAGTATCATGCTCAGATATTAGTTAGTATTTGAAATCATTACTACCATGACCTTACTTTTACCAAATATTGTTATCCTAATCCATGTGTAAGGTACAATAATAAAGCAAATACATGTTTTTCTGTTTCGGGTGTTACATCGCCGAAGTAACAAGAAAACACACTTAAAACTTGATGATTATCAATTTTTTTGGGACTATGACGCTATCTACCAGTACTATGATAAATACCCTCAAATCATATAGTGGCAAAACGGTTCACAGATCGAAAGTTTTTTTTAAATCGAATTACTAATAATTAGAGAGAAAATCATCATTCAGACAGTTGACTTAAGTATAGACTTTGAAGACTAATAATTTAAAAATTACTTGTTTCTTTCAGATTTTTATTGTTGCACATTATAATTTGGAATGTTTACTTTCAAAGTTCATCAGATTTAATGGGAAAAGTACATATTTACTTTTTCAGCCTCGGTAACATTTGTCATGGAATGACCCTTTATAGGTTATAATTAAATTTTAGATTTTAGTCCCAATTTTGTAATAGCTTATCAATAGCTGAAACACACTGTTTGAGCTTCAGTCCTGAAACGTAGCGTTAATCAAAGGTACAATAGAGTTGATTTTTGGCGACTTACAATCTGTTCCCGAACATTGTTGTGGAATATTTGCTCACGCAAGTCGGCTTCTTCATCATCCATCGTCTACCATACGATTTAGATTTATCTCTTAGAAACTGATGCGTCTTTGAATAAAGTGTGTTCCACAAAAAGATAGCACTTCATTTTCAAAACATTTTGCCTCACACTGACGTGCTCCACTTAATAATCTTTATTTGTGCAACACTGGGAACATAAAACACTATATTTACGAGATTCTTTCACGACTATAGGTTTTTACGATCATTATTTTCAAAAATATTCACACGATAGTCCACGAAACGCACAAAATACACGACTAATTTTTTAGTTTTTTTTTTTGCAGCTGACTGACAAAATTACTTTTGACACATTAACTTTTTTATTACTTTACTTATACAGGCTCGGACGTCACTATTTTAGCCAAGTGATCTTCGAGAGTTTTCTCGTTAACCTGTCGTTGAGCATGGTTTGTGGTGATTCTTTTTTTTATGGAGTTGGTCATTCAATAAATTTGAATAAATAAGATGGCCATGACCTTCGGAATGGATACACGACACGACACGCCTTTTAATACCACCATAGACTACATTTTTGGATGCTTAATATTCGTTCATTCATTCAATGCTTTATCTAGTCTATGATACATTCATCATTCAGTCACAGAGTGACATTGATTGATTAATGACAGACTTTTNCCTTGTATACATTTTTTCAAAATTTTTGATGCGCGAGGCCCCTTGTACCGCGAGGCCGTAGGCGGTGGCCCACGTCGCCTACGCCTTACGCCGCCTCTGCGTGGGAAGGTGGCGCCCGCGCAGTACCTGTACTCGCTCTCGCAGGTACAATATTTTTGTAGCTTACACAGGATTAAAGCGGAACAGCGCCATCTCTTGGTTAAACCCAGAACTAAATCTAATATGGCTGTCATTCTCTCCACAAAGCCAGCTGGACGGTTGGGTGCGGAATATTGGAAGCACAAAGCAACCTAAATCTCCAATTTATTTACTAATATTTGCCCAGAAAGAATGAAACGATACCGCGAAGTAAAACGGGACAGCGCCATCTCTTATTCAAACCTAGAACAACGCCATTTTGCTTGCTTTCTAGAGCCAGCCAGACGGCTGGGTGACGCGTCTAGGAAAGAAAGAAAGAAAGAAAAATTATTAGGAACCTTCGGGCGTCTGCAGGAGCTGGCTTTATGGCGCAAAGTCACCTCAGTCTCCAAAGTACTAATATTTGCCCAGAAAAAATCTAACGTCACCGCTAAATAAAACGACACAGCGCCATCTCTTGGCCAATCCCAGAACTAACAAAGCTGTTCTCCTTCACAGAGCCAGCCAGACGGCTGGGTGGCGCGCCTAGGAACCTTCGGGCGTCTGCAGGAGCTGGCTTTATGGCGCATTAGCTCGGGCGCGCTAGGCTGCGCCGCCGTGGCTGTCAAGCTGTTAGCTTCGCTGCTGCAGTGCGCCACCCGAGATGAGGCCATCTTCGACCCGTGAGTGCTTATCATTCATCATCATCATCATCATCATTTCAGCCACAGGACGTCCACTGCTGAACATAGGCTTCCCCTAACGCTTTCCACGTTGATCGATTGGTAGCGGCCTGCATCCAGTGCTTCCCTGCTACCTTTAAGATGTCTTCGGTCCACCTGTTACTTTTACTACTATGTATAGAATGGCTCAATCATTACCATCGGGTTATTTGGTCTGTAGGAGTACGACAGTACAACTTTCCCCTGGGACAAACTTGACCTTCATTGGTTGGGTTTTAGTTGGCGGTCACGCTGTAGATCCTGGCTACACAGGAATTGCAGCGGTGGGAACGAGAGTTGGGAATAGTTCCGTTTGTAGGACGCACGACCGTCTTTTATTTACTAGAGGTAAATAAAAAATCGTACTCCCCATCCTGACCGTCTAAACGGGTCGAAGAGGTCTGATATTCGCATATTTGTCTCTTGATCGCTTCTTACTATATTTTTCCTATTCGCAGAGTATTATCTACAGGATAGTTTTCTTATTCTGCCGTAACCACATAACCAAGATCGAATACTATCTATCGTTCAGTCGTGACCGTTTTCAATACGCGTAAGGAGTACTTATGGTAATGGAATCTATCTAGTGAACACTGTTATTACAGCTGTTGCATGAAAATGACGTATCCTATATTACTTTATCACTGTTACACTATTGATGCACCAAATCGTCACACCATTAACTTAAACCTTTTTTCCAGGAGCGTAAAGTTCACATCACTCAGCACGATGGAACTCTCTGAACTATCATCCATAGCCGCTTCCATCGGCTTATGGGATCTAGTGCCCATATTCAGCGTGCACCGAGGACAACCCAACCTAATGGTGACCGCGCTAAAGGCCCGCAGCGAGTTGTGCAGAGGCGCCTTAGACTGTCTACTGGGACAGAGATGTCTTGTTCCGTTGCTGTTGGAAGAAAACGCACAGTGGCTGTTTGACTTCCTGATTGAAAAGTGCAACAAGTTTGACACGAAGATTTTGAAGGTGAGAATAGTTTTTGAAAAGTAACAAGATAATAACAATAATGGTAATGCAAATTTTCAAAATAAATAAAAATACTCCACCGTGCTTAATTATTTGTCGCGGGACAAAAAACTAAGACTAATCAAATGGCAAAACTACTCACTCTCTTTCTTGTTCTGTAACAAATTTTCTATACGACAAGTTACTTGATTACATAATGCAGCTTTTTCATTTTTTAGCGCATCTGTTTATGGTTGAATCCGTTACAAGACCAGCTGCGTCCAGTGATCCGTGATATGAAGCAAGGAATCAGTTCCATCTATGTAAGTTCTACATTTATAACCATCAAAACAGTTAAACGGGTTTTCCATACTAAAGCCTGGTCCGTGAGTACGTAGAATCCCGGTCGCACGCTCGCTACGTGCTTACGGACCAGGCTTTAGTAATTTTTTTTCTAATGATGTTATAACTAATTTCAGACAACCAGCATGCTGTATCTAATAGCGACATTGATGCACGTTGCCTCGGCTATCGAGTCTCGGCACCCCTGCCCTGATATTCACTTAGCAATTACCCAGACCGCTGAGACTTGGAAGCACCAGTTTGTTCCCCGAAGGGCCGTCAGCTGCGGCCTGGCCCACTGGGCGGTGGTGGATGATGGCAACGCCAAGGTGATGATGACCAATACGCCGGTGAATACGGAGTTAATCGGGAGGGTGATCGATGTGGCTTGCGGCAGACATCATACGCTGGTGTTGACGGAGAACGGCGTAAGTTATTGCTTTGTTACATAAATTTTGATTCAGTAAAGTCTTACACCCGTATTCACAAACGCGTGTGGACGTACCCAAAAACCTATCAGACAATACTTGAAGTGACACAAACCAACCAATCACAGAGCTCTATTCAACGCTGTTCGTTCGACTTCGCATAGCGGGGCTGCGCAAGCATTGTTTGTGAATACGGATGTTTCACTTCTTTTGCATAATTTTTGATATCAGATAGACCTTTGATACGCAGTCACTGTGACCTACCCTTACAGCATTCTACTCTCGTATTACAATTTGGCAGCCATCGCTTAATGATAGATTGATCGGGGGAGGCCTTTGTTCAGCAGTGGTCGTCTTATGGTTTGAGTGATGATAGATCACCAATATCTATGCTAAGACATATCTTGTGGTTGTTTAAATCTTACCATCTAAGTCACTAGTATACCACATCTCAATGATTCCCACAGATATACTCAGCAGGGGAGAACTCCTTCGGTCAACTAGGCGTGGGCTCGGCTTGGGCGGGCGCCGTGGGCGACGCTGCAAGTTCTGCTGGGGCGTTAATGCACGTGCCGTATGAATGGACGGCACCCCTGATATCAGTGGCCGCTGGGCACTACCATTCCGCTGCTATTGATGCAGGAGGCCGACTTTATATGTGGGGGTGAGTGTATTATACAAGATAGTCTTGGTTCGAGTCTATTTGGGCAGGCTATGGGCTCAACCGCGACTCCTAATTTATTTGTCGAAGCGCTGACGCTCAATATGTGAATCAGCAAATTCAGCTGAACAGTGTCTCCGAAATGGCCGGCTTATGTCTCGAATATTTATCTACTTATATGCATATTCGTTACTATTGTTGCTGTTCTTGGTAAAATCCATTTTCCTCCTTAAGCCTTGTTTCTAACACAAGCTAAGCCATATAGTGTAACAAGAAACTTTGTTTCAGATGGGGCGTTCACGGCCAACTTGGTCTCGGTAGCATTGACGATGAATGGAGCCCTAAAATGGTAACCAGATTTCAAGGAAGAAAGGTAAATAGCAATACCAGTTTTACTCGTAAAGTTTGCTAAACTGTTTTTTTACGCCTGTGGCACACCTCCGCGGAGTTCCGCCGTGAAACCATGACAACGAAACGATTTCAATATACATCTCTGAAATCACATCACCACATTAGCAACGTGACCAAGTAAACGCAGAGATGTATATTGAAATCCTTTCGCTGTCATGGTTTCGCGGCAGAGGTGTGCTACAGGCATTAATTTGGCTTATTCCACTATTTCCCGTTGACAATCCCCGTCAACGGGAATTAGTGTACTTTTTGTCCACTAATCCCCGTTTACGCCAATTGGAGCTTATAATGGGGAATAATGAACTAAAAAGTTCATTAATCCCCGTTATATTAGGTATTTTTTTAACGCAATGGGGATAAATGAACTTTTCTGTTCATTATTCCCCATTATAAGCTCCAATGAGGGCTATCGTTTTTATACTTAACAGTTGGCACCCCTGGCGGTTGACAGGACCTTACTCTACAGTGGCGCCATCTTGATGAGTGCAAATGCGATAGTCCTACCACTTTAGCACTCACCAGATGGTGCCACTGTCTTCGCTACTAGCAAGTGACAGGACCTTACTCTACAGTGGCGCAAACTGGTGAGCGCTAAAACGATAGCCCTCATTACATACTGAATTATTTTTATATTCTGTAGGTTCTTAGCGTCGGTTGTGGTGCCTGTCATACGGTGATGTTGATGCGTAACGGCGAAGTTTGGGCGTGCGGCGCGGCCGTGTTTGGGCAACTGGGTTCGGGCAATCGGGAGAAGAGCTCCGTGCCGGTCCGAATTACGTTCCCTGATGCTATTGACGCTATAGCGGTTGGATACTTCCATAACGTGAGTTGTTACTTTCCCATATTGATGAGCATGCAAGGGTAGTTGTGGGTGGGTGATTTTGAATTGTGAATTGAGTGTTGTTTCATAATAAAAAAATCTTCTAGCCTAGCCCTTTCCCTACGGGCTCTTGGAAACCAAAATGCGTCTCTCAATACGGGGTATTTTTGTCAAAATTTTTGCTCACTTTACATCAAGATATTTTAAAAAGTATGAGACTTACGGTATAGAAATTCGGAATATTATATCTGCAACTAATGTAGTTTCGTAATTATATTCTCTGTTTACACTTCATTTGCAATTTTTTTGTTTATCGTAAGTCGTGATTTAGATTTGTTTGTCACCCGTATTGAGAAGTGACTTTTACCTTGGCATTAATAGGTGCCTCCCGTAGGGAAAAGGCTAGAACGGGTAAAAATAGGTACACCAAAAGTTGTGTCTTGAGATTATCGGTCACCAGAACTGCCTTATATAGGTGACCCACGCTGAACTGTCCCACCAAACTCAATGACAGGGGGGCGCTACCATCGTTCAACTATATGGTTTCCAACATGGCAAAAATCGGAACTAGCGATCCGGTATTGACGGTGGCGCCCCACTGTCAATGTCAGGCATAGGACAGTTCAGTATTTTGGAACTATATTATTGATGCTGTCATTCCGTAGTTGGCGCTATCGTGCAAAGGGCAGCTATACACGTGGGGAGCGAGCCCGCAGCAGGTGCGAGCGGCGCACGCGCGGCGCCAGGCCTCGCCGACCCCCGACCCGCCGCGCGACCCGCACCTGCTGCCCGCGGTCGTGGATACTGCCACTGTGCAAGGACACATCGTGCGGGTGAGATGTTGTGTAGGGCGCTACAGGTCTTCGCAGCTGGGACTGAAGTCCTAGAGGCTGCTAGCTCTCCTCAGCTGGCCCTGACCTCCTATATGATGCTATACACGCGCGTCGCCAGGCCTCGCCGGCCCCCGACCCGCCGCGCGACCCGCACCTACTACCCGCGGTCGTGGATACTGCCACTGTGCAAGGACACATCGTGCGGGTGAGATGTTGTGTAACTCACTACAGGTCTCCACAACTGGGACTGACTCGAGGCTGCTAGCTCTCCACAGCTGGCTTTTATTTCCAAGAAGTACTAAACACGCGCGGCGCCAGGCCTCGCCGGCCCCCGACCCGCCGCGCGACCCGCACCTGCTGCCCGCGGTCGTGGATACTGCCACTGTGCAAGGACATATTGTGCGGGTGAGATGTTGTGTAGGGCGCTACAACTGGGACTGACTTCCTAGAGGCTGCTAGCTCTCCACAGTTGGCTTTTATTTTCAAGAAGTACTAAACACGCGCGGCGCCAGGCCTCGCCGGCCCCTGACCCGCCGCGCGACCCGCACCTGCTGCCCGCGCTCGTGGATACTGCCACTGTGCAAGGACATATCGTGCGGGTGAGATGTTGTGTAACTCACTACAGTCTCCACAACTGGGACTGACTTTCTAGAGGCTGCTAGCTCTCCACAGCTGGCCCTGACCTCCTATATGATGCTATACACGCGCGGCGCCAGGCCTCGCCGGCCCCCGACCCGCCGCGCGACCCGCACCTGCTGCCCGCGGTCGTGGATACTGCCACTGTGCAAGGACATATTGTGCGGGTGAGATGTTGTGTAGGGCGCTACAGGTCTTCGCAGCTGGGACTGAAGTCCTAGAGGCTGCTAGCTCTCCACAGCTGGCCCTGACCTCCTATATGATGCTATACACGCGCGGCGCCAGGCCTCGCCGGCCCCCGACCCGCCGCGCGACCCGCACCTGCTGCCCGCGGTCGTGGATACTGCCACTGTGCAAGGACACATCGTGCGGGTGAGATGTTAAAAGGTCGCTACAGGTGTCCACAGCTGACTGACCTCCCAAGGGGCAGATGCAATATGTGTGGCTCTAGACTTCGCTCGCGCCTGACTCACTTCTAATAATGACACTGGGCCGTTTGTTAGTCGTATACCTCGAAATCAAAAAATCCTTGTAGCTTTTCACCTATTCGCATTTCGCCGCGATATCAAAATTTCTGAATAGATTTTTATTCTTGTAGTATACATTTTGATCGCTAATTACAATTGTCTAAGAAATTCATAGTAGATTTACTTTCCTGCCGGACTGAGAAATATGCACATAAATTACCATCCTTTTTTACAAAGCGAGACGCTCTGTATCGAAATCGAAAAAGGCACACTGGAAATTGTACTTTTCGAACCACTGCTGATGTTGTAATTCCAGAGCACTTAGCTACTGTTGTAAAAATCTGTTAAAAATATATGCTAGTAACAAAATATACTACCGATATTACACGCTACAACAAAAAACGCTATCACGGTGAAATGCGAATAGGTGAAAAGCTACAAGGATTTTTTGATTTCGAGGTATACGACTAACAAACGCACTGGGCGCTCGGGCTCGCGCGGCACGCTGGTCATCCTGCTCACCCTGCTCTTGAGTGAGCAGGATGTCGAGTTTGGCGCGCGAGCCCGTTCGCCCAGTGTGGACGCACCATAACTGCGCCTGCGACACCGCCGCCGTGTAAGGACTTATATTATCGTGCGGTTGAAATGTTGTATAGCTCGCTCCAGGTGTTCTAGAGCTGGACCTGACCTCGCACACGTCTGTTAGTTTCACAGGCTGCAAACTGTGAAAACAGCTGTGAAAACCCGTTGCACGCACCTGCGCTGCTCATTACATTTCAAAACAGACGCGCGTGGATGCGCCCGCGTAGATTTTAGCGTAGTCTCTTATAAAACTCACTCGGTTAACTTCTGATAATATGATATTTTTTGTTACAGTTGGCGGCAGGCTGGCATCACTCATGTATTATGAACAATTTCGGCACTCTGTACTCTTGGGGCTTAAATTTCGATGGACAATTAGGTACATATTATTTTATATTGTTTTAGCTCACGAACCCTCTTAGTTCGTAAAAATCTATTTAATTATCATAAAATACGTGTGTATAAATTAGGTATTATGTTTCTCAGGCAGTGGCGACCGTAAACAGGTGAACGTGCCGACTGAAGTGAAAATTCTCAATGAAAATCAAACAGTTAAAAACGGCAGCTCCAAAACGCCCGACATTGAGAACAAAGACTTCAAAACTAAGGCGTTGATGGCTTGCGGCGGGGATTTCACCATATACATAGACGAAGAAGGTCGAATATACGCGACAGGAAATACTCATTTGCAAGTAAGTTTTGTACAAATTAAGTTTTTTTATGCATTTATTATTCCAGTTTAAGTTTCGTATTTATGTATGTCTTTTTTTCCTACTCAGATAAACAATGAAAAAGAAAAAGGTACTAACCGCGTGATAATGATGAAAACCACAAAACGCGTCATCAAAATACCCGCAAGCCGCAGCAACAACAAGTTCATCTTCCAGCCCATCGATAGGATCGACATCATGTTTCCTTTCGACCTCGAGGACTCGAAAAGAAAACCTATCGAACCTCGGCAAAACCCACTTCGATGCATGAACGATTTCAAGAAGAAGTCTTGGGCTGACGACATAATACTCCTCCTCAAACCTTGGATCAACGACGAAACGTTGAACGGGAATCTCAACATGGCTGCCAAACTGGCTTATCACAATAATATTTACTCAGACTGTTTGTCTATGCTCCTAGACGATCTGAAAACGACGCCCCAAGACGACTGCCTCTATCTTACTCACACTGAAGTTTTAGATGAACAAGAATTAGATAAAGATTCGTCACGAAAGAGAGACGAACTCAAGATTATCGTAACAAATGTTATGTCAAAGCGAATCAAAGAAGTTTCATTGACTATTTTGAACGAGGAGCCTTATCCTGAAATAGATCAGGCGGTCTGTCAGTCTTTGCCTTGTTGTTGCGATGAACTCAAATATTTGCCCAAAGCTGTGACAAGAAGTTCCGTTATGAACGTTGAACGAAACCTTTCTATTCAAGCGGCAAATATAGTAGACAAATGCATGAGCATTTTCCCAATCGATACTCAGCTGTGGGAAACATGTTTCAGGAATGCGAAGAATTTTTTTATAGACAACAACTTGTCTATTCCAGATTTGGAATCAGTGCTGAAGAAATATATGGAATCTGATGCCACTACTATGGCAGCAGCTATAATGTACTCAAACGATTGTGACCAGTACAGCGAGATACTCTCGCCGAAGTTTTACTTGAACATGTGCAGTCAAGTCCTGGACACTTGGGGTTGAAGTCACGAGTGTTCAGTGAATGGAAAAGAAATTTGAACCTTCGGGTTTTAATCCAGTATTGATCATTATTATAGAAAGCTATTTTTGCATATTTATGACATATCTTAACGAGGGAAAGCAAAGTGAAAGAAATTGAAATGTGTGTTATTGCACAAAATAGATGAACGTTGAAAATGTCGGATTCAATTCTGAAAACGGCGCCAGTAAAGCAGGGATACACGTAGACTCTAATATTATCGTATTAAAACTCTTGCCTTGATTAACAATGCTCATAGGTCTTTTGCTTTAGTATTATACTTTGTAGCTAGTTGCAATTTTTTGTCTCATTTACTAGTTGTGTAAATCTTTGTTGTGAATTCATTGTTAGTGTTATATTTTTACATACCCCAATTTATTTAATACTGATGTAGTCAATGTCCATTGTTTTTATGTATAAGCTATTATGAATTTAACCATTGTTGTGACTCATCAAGTATACTAAATACATGTGTTCTCTCTTGCATCTAGTCATAGTTATAGAATTTTTTGAGATTTTTATGTTGGCTTTATCAACCTGTTATTTTCTTAATACCCAATAACTATTATACCTGTAATCAAATTAAATCAATTATTATGCATCCATATACCTTCTTTTCATTTCTAATAAAACAATCAATATTTAAACAAAGTAAGTTTTTTATATAATTGTATTTCTGTATAACTATTTACAAAAGAAAATAAATACACCAATATACACAACATTTACTCGCAGTAAATGCAGGCGGTTTTGGTTACTCTCAACAAAACGGAATGAGTCAGCTCAAAAACAAGGTAGATTAAAAAGAAAATAATCCGAAATAAATATATTAAAAAGAAATATCACATGTTTGGATGATATCGGCACATCGGATTGCGATAAATTAATGTGTACACATTCAAGACGAAAACGTGAAAGTTTTTCCTTGCGAGTGCTTCGTTTAAATTCTACGATAGAATGACGATTGATTATGCGTGATATAACATTTTACATCCAAAGTCATTTATATCAGATTCATACAAGATTCCTTAGAGCAGACGAGCGACGCGACAGTAGCCTACGACTAATAGTACCCTGCTGGTCTGTGGGTTACACACTTGCACAATAACGTTACTAAAGTTAGAAGTTGATGGGCTTGCCGCAGTACGCGGCCAGGTTCGCTTCGCGGAGGGCCTCTGCACAGGTCTGCAACGAAAATACACATGATAATGCGATGGCTATAAAATGTGTAAATATACTTGATATGGGATGGTTTTAAGTTTTCTTTCTATTTCAACATAATTTACATAGTTTCGTGTCAATGCTTCACGTCACAGCTTCGTGCAATGTCGCTTGCTCTCAAATTAATGGAAGCCGTTCTGCGTCACGTAAATGCGTCAAACATGGCGATCTGCGTCACTTAAATACGTCAATCGAGTGAAAGTTGGGGTTGCTGCGCGTATTATTATCGAATAACAAAAGAAACGGTTAGAGAAGTGAAAGATATTCCAATCTGGTCTTACTGGGTTCGTTTCTGAGAAAGGGCACAAATTCAAGGGTACTTTGTGCATTCATATTCGATCGGAACGTTCAGCAGCGCGATCGGAACGTTCAGCAGCGATCGACGAGCATCGAATGAATCCCCGAATCGTCACTCCGATGCCGATACTTTTGTGTTATTTTCATCTGACAGCCCATAAAGTGAATAATTCTTTCGGAATAAAGCAATAATCACAAGATGTCCAACAAAACCGATTTCAGGATGTCACTGGATGTCATTTGTGTGTCAGTTCTCAGGATTTTGTATAATAAATCAATCACTGAACCAGTCACCACGTTTTTGAAGCACTATTTCTCATAAATATCACGATTTTACTTGCGAAAATTTGAAAAAATCTCAAGAGCTAACATTTTCAGCGTGTGCGTGTGTTTCAATGAGTGCTAATGAACCTTTAACTGTTAAATAGTGCAAAAAAACGGTTCTGTTACGTTGCATCACGCATCACTTTTTATCACACAGTGTTGCTGCTAGTGATATCTCGCTCGCTCAATCTTTTGTTGTTCTATTCCGTTAGGTATAATAACTTTATGTGACATCATCATCATCATCATTTCAGCCACAGGACGTCCACTGCTGAACATTCCCGCTACCTTTATCAGGTCGTCGGTCCACCTTGTGGGTGGACGTCCCACGCTGCGTTTTCCGGTACGTGGCCTCCATTCCAGAACCTTGCTGCCCTATCGGCAGTCAGTTCTGCGTACTATGTGCCCTGAGTGCCCACTGNACAGCTTTGTGGAATGTCGCTAGATATAGATGACCCAAGCTGAACTGTCCCACCAAACTCAATGACAGGGGGGCGCTACCATCGTTCAACTATATGGTTTCCAACTTGGCAAAAATCGGAACCAGCGATCCGGTACTGACGGTGGCGCCCCACTGTCAATGTCATGCATAGGACAGTTCAATATTTTGGAACTATAATGACACTTGCTCTCAAACGGAAGCCGTTCTGCGTCACGTAAATGCGTGAAACATGGCGATCTGCGTCACCTAAATGCGTCAATCGAGTGAACGTTGGGGTTGCTGCGCGTCACATTATTGAACAACAAAAGAAACAGCTAGAGAAGGGAAATATTCCAATCTGGTGGTACTGGGTTCGTTTCTCAGAAAGGGCACAAATTCAAGGGTACTTTGTGCATTCATATTCGGTCGGAACGTTCAGCAGCGATCGACGAGCATCGAATGAATCCCCGAATCGTCACTCCGATGCCGATACTTTTGTGTTAATTTCATCTGACAGCCCATAAAGTGAATAATTCTTTTGGAATAAAGCAATAATCACAAGCTGTCCAACAAAACCGATTTCAGGATGTCACTGGATGTCATTTATGTGTCACTTGTCAGTTCTCAGGATTTTGTATAATAAATCAATCACTGAACCAGTCACCACGTTTTTGAAGCACTATTTCTCATAGATATCACGATTTTACTTACGAAAATTTAAAAAAATTTCAAGAGCTAAAATTTTCAGCGTGTGCGTGTGTTTCAATGAGTGCTAATGAACCTTTAACTGTTAAATAGTGCAAAAAAAGGTTCTGTCACGTTGCATCACGCATCACTTTTTATCACAGTGTTGCTGCTAGTGATATCTCGCTCGCTCAGTCTTTTGTTGTTCTATTCCGTTAGGTATAATAACTTTATGTGACATCATCATCATCATCATTTCAGCCACAGGACGTCCACTGCTGAACATAGGCCTCCCCCAATGACTTCCACATCGCACGGTTGGTAGCGGCCTGCATCCAGCGCCTTCCCGCTACCTTTATCAGGTCGTCGGTCCACCTTGTGGGTGGACGTCCCACGCTGCGTTTTCCGGTACGTGGCCTCCACTCCAGAACCTTGCTGCCCTATCGGCCGTCAGTTCTGCGTACTATGTGCCCTGCCCACTGCCACTTCAGCTTGCTGATCCGTCGGGCTATGTCAGCGACTTTAGTTCGTTTACGGATCTCCTCATTTCTGATTCGATCTCGAAAAGAAACACCGAGCATAGCCCTCTCCATAGCACGCTGTGCAACTTTGAGTTTCTGTATAAGGCCTATAGTGAGGGGCCACGTTTCCGAGCCATAAGTCATCACATGTAACACACATTGGTTGTAGACTTTCGTCTTCAGGCACTGTGGTATTTTGGACGAAAAGATGTGACAGCCGCGTATTATTTCATTTGTTTTATAGCAAACCACATAACATAAATGGTTGAAGAAAAAGAAGTAAACTATGCTTACCGGATGCGCGTGGCAGACGCGCGCCACGTCCTCGGCCGCGGCGCCGTACTCCTGCGCCAGCACCGCCTCGTTGATGAGCTCGCCGCCGCCCTGACACACACCATCGAGTTACTTTCGATAATTAATAATTATTATATTGACATGCATGAAGTACTTATTTGTAATTTATCTTAAAAGCGTTTTGGAACTTGTATTCTGTTAGCTTTTAAGACGTTTGAAATAATAAATAAACCCACTAACAAGAACCAGCCGGGCTAGGATGCGCGACGTGATAAAATCTTATCGATGATTTTAGACGTCAAAATGTATGGGCGTTAAATTGATAAAATGGCGCGAAAATCGCTTATCACGGCGCGCATCCTGGGCCTACAGCAAATCTAGACTTTTTTGTTTTCATTATGGTTTAAATATTGTAATTATATCAATAATGAATCTAGGCTTAAGTTTGAATCTAATTTTGAGGGTAGGTCCACAATACGCGTTTTAGTTTCAGTACCTCGTAACTGAAGTTACAAATCTTGTAACTGCACTGAAGATAATAATTCATTCAATAATGCATTCAAATTAATAGTTGCATTAATGTAACTCACGAAGGCGAGTGAGCTTTACTTGTGTGTGTACGTGTACATGCACATAACGATAGTGTAATATTTATCAAAACTTTTGAAAAACGAACAGTTAGCCACCACACATGTAAAGCTCACTCGCCTTCGTGAATTGAAACAACTATAACAGTCTGTATTCAAGAAAGACGACATCATTTGCTTTTCCAGCCAGTATTTAAGGCTTCAATGTAAATCCTCAATACTCACGGGGCCGATGATGTGTGTGCCGAGGATGACGTCGGTGGCCTTGTCGGAGAGCACCTTGACGAAGCCCTCGGGCTCGCCGTTCGTCTTCGCCCTGGAGTTCGCCATGAACGGGAATTTGCCCACTTTGTACGCCCTGCCCTGGTGACGCAAACATAAAAAATATTGATACAAATTCATACAGGTTTATCTTTTTTCTTTGTTCATCACATCGAAATCGACATGTCGTAGAAAGTGACAAAGTTATAACCCTATACGATTATAATTAAAATACAGATCTACATCAACGACCTCTTTCTTTCATTAGTTTTAAAACCTTTTGTACCCTTTGCACCACCGGCCTGCACCACTGGTGGTGCAAAGGGTATTTTTTAATCCCTTTTGCACCACCAATAGTGCCGCCCTACCATTAACTGTAAAACGATTATCTATAATCATACATATAATATTTGATTTGATAAGATAAGATAAGAGGAAAGATTTGATTGTTTGTTTGTACTGAATAGGCTCCGAAACTACTGGACAGATTTGACAACATAACATAAAAATTAATAACCACCATTCATACCTACATACAACGAATAATTCCTAAAGTACCAGGGCAACATAATCATAAAGGTGCTAGGTATATCAAATTCTTCTTGGTTGACCCGAGAAATAAACATGTATCATAAAATAGCTCCTTTAAGGTTATGTTGCCCTGGTACTTTATTCGTTGTTGTATGTAGGATGTAGGCCCGGGGTATCGTGGGTCTGAAGTGAAATGTTTATAGGCACTTACACACACACAAATTAAAACTTTTAGGTAGGTATTGATTTATTTATAACAATTAAATTATTAAGTACTAGCTTTCCGCCCGCGGCTTCGCCCGCGTGGAATTTTGTCTGTCACAGAAAAACTTTATCGCGCGCGTCCCTGTTTCAAAAACCGGGATAAAAACTATCCTATGTTCTTTCCCGGGACTCAAACTATCTCTATGCCAAATTTCATCAAAATCGGTTGCGAGGTTTAAGCGGGAAAGCGTAACAGACAGACGGACAGACAGACAGACAGAGTTACTTTCGCATTTATAATATTAGTTGGGATAGTTGGGATTTTACAGTCTACTACTAGTTTTACAGTCGATGGTAGCACAGCACTATTTGTTGGTGGTGCAAGAGGGATTTAAAAATACCCTTTGCACCACCAGTGGTGCAGGCCGGTGGTGCAAAGGGTACAAAAGGGTTTTAAACATTGTCTTTGAAAAATAGGTTGAGTTTGTGATAAGGAGATTACGAATAACCGGAGGTGAATAACCCTGCAATAACATACCCTTTTAGTAGGTTGCGGGGCTATTCGCTAACTTCGATTTCATATTTCCTGATCATCAGTCACTGTCGTTCATACGAGTATCTCGCTATGATTGAAAAGGATGGAAGGAATCAGCGTTGATTTGAAGCCCCGCAGGATTTAAATGTATCAACTTTTGTAGTTATTATGACCTATTAAACTCTGTTATCAGGTCACGTAATATGGATCATGCTAATAATAAACTTTGTAATGACCGATAACATGGTTTGCATAATGTTGAACCGCTAAAATATGATAAACTAGCTTTTGCCCGCGGCTTCACCCGCGTGAAATTTAGTGCCACAGATTCGCATAAATTATAGCCTATATGTTAATACGGGATACAAATAATAATACTGTAAAGTTTCAACCAAATCCGTTCAGTAGTTTTTGCGTGAAAGAGTAACAAACATCCACACAAACTTTCACCTTTATAATATTAGTAGGATTAACATAATTTTAGAATTTGTTACTTACTTCTTTCTTCAGATCTTCCTCAGTTTTGCCGACCCAGCCGACTTCGGGGGATGTGTAGATGACGGATGGAATGGCGTCGTAGTTGAAGTGGACTGGCATACCCTGCAATAAACATGTACATTTTACTGGGAATACTAATTAAAAAAAACAAATAATCAAAATCCTTCAAGTACTTTTTGCTTGACAGAGCATGAAGCATCTGTATTAACTTTCGTATATGTACTCGTAATATTAATTTAATATAGAGTAACTTTTCAAATAAATTAGTTTTACCTTGATGCCTTCGACACACACGATGCCTTCGTCTTCAGCTTTGTGGGCCAACATGGGTCCGTGGATAATGTCACCGATGGCGTAGATTCTGTGAAAAACCACTGGTTAATTTCAATTCACATAGTTATATTGTAACGTTCGTTATCAACATTTTTGTATCTGATTTGACACAAATTAGAAATTGTACCTTGTAGGCTAGTTAAATTGTCTAAAAGCGCAAGAAACAGACTAGATTGAAGGTACTCTCAGTATAAATAAAACATTAAGTCTAATCTAATACAAATACAACCCGGTCAGTGCGCGGGTGAGTGCGAGGGAAAGTCGTATTCTTACGAGGAGCGCAGTTATTTCGATCGGGTTGTAAATACCCATAGCACAAACTCTGCTAGACTGGATCTAAAGCCTGGTCCGTGAGCACGTAGAATCCCGTCCAATGACCCCAAGCTACCCATCCCTATCGCTCGCGCGTAATTATGTTGCTGTCGCGACTGTGCGACGGGCGCCCGCAGTGAGTGTGCGAGCGCGACAGCAACATAATTACGCGCTAGCGATAGGGATGGGTAGCTTGGGGTCATTGGACGGGATTCTACGTGCTCACGGACCAGGTTTTAGATGACTTTTATTTACATTTAGCAACTCACCCAGGGACGGTAGTCTGGAATTTGTTGTTAACCGGTACCCTGCCGCGGTCGTCGAGCGCGATGCCCACTTTGTCGAGCCCGAGGTCCTTGGTGTAGGGCCGGCGGCCAATGGATAGCAGTACGACGTCGCACTCCAGCTGAAATGTTATTTATGCTGTGATATTGATGAAATAAACAAATTTCAATTTAAAACCTCTTGTTGTTTCAGCCAAATGACGTCCACTGCTGGACAAAGGCCTCCCCCAAGATTTTCCACAATGAACGGTCCTCTTACAAATGGTTAATTGTCCTAAAATAAAAATCAGTTTTAAAGCTTAATTTTCTCTCTCCCAAGGATTTACTAGTGTTCTGCAGTGCCCACTTTCAAGTACATTCTGCGAATATTTCAGGTCGGCGATCCATTGAGAGGGGAATTTTTATTACTTTAGCTCAATGTTACTCACTAATATTTTATGAATATCTACTAGTGATATTTCCATCCAGCCATCTTTAGTAAAAATCTTTCTCTTAAAAAGCAAGCAGGCAACCTTTTTCTGATTGAATGGCCAGGAAGACTAAAATATGTATATAGGATTATAATTAGAATTCAGGCGGGCTAGGATGCGTGCCGTAATTACTTTATCGACGTCAAAATATGTTGGTATGGGCACAATCGATAAAATGGCATGATAACCGCCTATCGCGGCGCGCATCCTAGGCCTACAGGGCACTCTTACCAACTAACTTATCCACGCTACATTTCCACTTACCGTTTCCTTGTTCCCGCCCTTGGCAGCCTCGACTTCCACCTTGACGACGCCGCCCTCCTTCTTGATGCCCATGACCTTGGTGTTCAGCTTGAACTTCAAGCCTTCCTTGCCGAGGATCTTCTGCAGAGTCTTTGCGACTTCGCCGTCGATGCCGACGCCTGGTAAAATTATATTATTACTTTAATTAAACTCGCATTTGTTATGGCACAGTTACACTTTGCGGGAAATCGAAACATATAATGTAAACACGCACTTCAGTTAGTTTCGCCGTGCGTCGTCTATACTTCGATCGATGTGCGTGCCCGCGCTTTGCAAAACAAGGCTATAAGCCATGTAAATATGTATCCAGAATAAATAAATAACAGATTTAAATCGTTGATTGGAACAGTGTGGAAAGGCTTTAAAATATAATTCAACAATCACTAGTAGTGTGTTCAAATTAGAGATGAAACGGATAGTTGTTTGGCCGGATACCGGATATCCGGCCAGCTGCTAGGCCGGATAGCCGGATATCCGGCGGCCGGATAGTTGGCCCATTGTCTCGTTGCATGTTGTGACGAGTTTAGGTGCTTCGAACGCGATCAGTGAATCTATTAGTAGACTAGACTAGTCACACTTTTCGAAAATCGAATCAGTCCGAATAGAATGTCAGATTTTGCCACTTGTCTAGGGGGCATATCAATTCTGGCGATTTCGGTTGCCATCGTGAGTGTGTGATTGAATAGCGAAAAGGACATCATCCACGTTTCATACATTTTTGGTTCAAAATCAAAAGTGCCGGCCAAAAAAAAGTGCTGTATTCTGACAGAACACGTCTGCCTTAGCATTTGTCACTATGGCACCAAAGCTTTTCATTATGTATTTCATTTTATTAATAGAAAATTGTCGTAGTTTTTTAATATCCGGTATCCGGCCGGATAGTGAGTTACCATCCGGTATCCGGCCGGATAGTAAATTTAGGCCGGATATCCGGCCTACCGGATAGTTACCGGATATCCGTTTCATCTCTAGTTCAAATTGCATAAATGTTGTAAACAAGTTGGGGAACATATTTTTTGAACTTTTCCTTGGTTGCATGCAATTGCAACATGTGTGTGACATGATCACAATTCATATCTAATCAAATGTCACATGATGTCTTAATACCTACTCATGATGGATCTAATTCAGATTAATTTTAAAATGTGATAGACGATTCAAAAATTAAATATAAAATTGTTCATGAACAGTTTACCTCCAATGGTGCCCAGGAACTCAATGGCAGTGACGTCAGAACCTAGCCTCTGGTATACCGAGCCCAACTCCAAGCCGATCACTCCGGCCCCAATGACCAACATCCTCTTGGGAACAGAAGGCAGAGACAGGGCTCCCGTTGATGAGATGATTTGTTGTTCATCAATCTGCAAAACATTTGTAATTATTTTACAATTTATTTACGGGTAACCAACAACGCATACACCATACATTCATAGATGTTTTTAATCTAAGTTGTTGCCTTAATTAAAGGCTGCCACGACATGCACCAAAAAATGTGTTGGACAGACAAGAGAAGTCATTTAAATATAAAGTTGTTACAAGAAAATTATGGATGGATAAAACTAAATGAACAAATAGGTTGAACATTTATTGAAACATACATTGTTAATTTAAGAGCATGTATGCTTTGTGGCATTGTGCAAGTTAAGATAAAATACAAGGAAGGATATTTAAAACTATAGTTTTATCATCAGAGATAAAAAAAACATAAAACTTCTACTAACCGTAACACCAGGGAAGGGTGTGACCTCTGATCCGGTAGCCAGTAGAATATTCTTTGTGTTGACTACTTCAACTCCTTTTTCACCTTTAACTTCAACTTTATTGGGCGCCACCAATGTACCCACACCACGGACAAGCTTTACCTGTAAGTAAATAAGGAAATAAGCAGGTAAATAATATCAAGTCATATAATCTCAGGCTTTGCATGGTCATGATTACTATTTTATTTATTGATATTTGGGGAACAATCAATTTTCATAGACACAGATAAACAAAATTATTTATCTTTTTTATCATGTTTTACTGATATGTGAATAATAATAGCACTTAAAATTGTGTTATAAGCTAGTCTATTCTTTGTAAAACAGACAAACATTGAGTAAAAATAGAAGAAATACAAAATTATTAAAAAATTTAACAACACAGTTTTTCTTATAAGTGCTTTATCAGCTCATTTTGCATACCTTATTCTTTTGAAACAGCATGCCAATGCCTCCAGTCAAGGCTTTCACTGCTTTGACTTTGTAGTCCATCATAGCTTTGAAGTCAAATGTAACGTTGCCTACTTCAATACCCCGGTGCTTGAAGTCATGTTTGGCCATGTGATACAGGTGAGAGTTATGCAGGAGTGCTTTTGAAGGGATGCACCCAACATTCAGGCAAGTACCTCCTAGGGAAGCATCTTTTTCTACTGAAACTACCTATAAGAGAGAAAAAGAACATAATAAATAAAAGTTTCTGATTAGGACTATGATTGAGGTTGTCTTTTGAGAGGAACTCAAATATTTAAATATTGGTTTATAAAAAAGGCTTTTTTACCTTCATGCCCAGCTGGGCAGCTTTAATGGCAGCTACATAACCGCCAGGACCCGCGCCAATCACCACCAAATCTGCGTCATGAGTGGTAGCATAATTTCTAGAAATAATCCTTGAACCTCCACTCTGAAATTTAATTAATAAGCTTTTAAATGTATGTGCAATAAGGTTGAGACAAAATCAGAGTCATGATAATACATAAATCAATCAGCTTTTAAAGATATTGATATGATAAAAGTGCAGGATCGATTTGACAGACGGTCACATGCCTGAAGGTCAATGCAGCACATAGAAATTACAGTGGAAAACATGGAATAAAAACATATCAAATCGTCAAATGTTTACACTGGAGCATGCGTAGGAGTAGGAGTACCCCAGGGGGATAAAATTAGATGAATAAATAATCCCTAAAAGCAAGTATTGCATAACGTTGTCAGATTTCTATCAAACATTTGTAAGGGAAATACAGCTTATCATGTCTTACCCTGAATGGAGTAGAAGCCAGTTTTAAAAATTTGAAACCCATTCCTATTATCTGTATGAACAGATTATTAAAAATTGCCGAAAATCTATATTTTCGGAGCCCTGGCGATTCGGTGGTCACTCAGTCAAATGTCAAAGTGACGTTTTCAATCAGTCAGGCAGGAAATCTGTGGACAGGAAGGACGTGTTGCCAATTAAAAAAATGAAATAGTAGCGTTCATTGTTCAATAAATTAGATTCAAAATTTAAAAAAACTTTAGGCAGCTTGACTCAATTTCAGATAAAGGCCATTAAAGTTATTTTCGTCAATAAAAAACACATTATCGTAAGAAAAACATTCTTCTAATCTTCTAATATTATTAACTCACTTTAGTGTCTGCAATTTGATGAATGACATGATGAAATAGGCGTATTAATTACCGTGATACTTTATGTTTAATTACTACTAGCTGACCCGGCGAACTTTGTTCCGCCTTAATGGCAATAAATAACGGGATAAAAAGTATCCTATGTCCTTCTCCTGGCTCTAAACTACCTCCTTGACAATTTTCAGCTAAATCGGTTCAGCCGTTCTTGAGTTATAAGTGGAGTAACTAACACGACTTTCTTTTATAATATAGATATTAGGTAAAGTTATCATGTTATAAATTATAAACAATACCTCCTTTGAAAAAAATAATATAAATTATACATAAAAAATATATATTTATACTAGCAACACCAAAATGCGCGCGCTGCGAGAAGCGGAAGTTTTGTTTATCAATCAAATCAAGCGAAGGACCGTGATCGGTAGTGTTGGTGGAAAGAAACGTGTTTATTTTTTCGTAAATCGATGTTAAATTATAATTTGCCAAAATTATAAATTTGATGCTATAGAACACTCTGTGAATACATTTACGACGGCCTAGTTGCCCAGGACATTTTTTCTTGACAAGGTAAGTGGATTTTATGTTATTGCGTGATTTAAATTTCATAAAATGTAGACTGCTTATTTTATGTATTTACCTATTTAGTTAAATAGATACAATATATACATACCTACATGCCTAGGGTTATGTTAACATGTACAATTATTCATAATAATTATTTCAGAGATGATGATTTAATACATGAATAGTTTAGTTTATTTTGATAAGTAGGTAGTGCCAAGTAGAATTTTTCTAAAATTTTCCTATGCTGATGAGACAAGTGAAAAGTTGATTGATTTATAAGCTGTTTTTTCTAATTAAATAATAATGAAATTAAATAAGTCTAATTGGTAATTATTAATGTAATTTAAAACTAAAATACCTACTTAATTGAAGACGCAAGAGTTTTTATTAATAAGAATTTAGTCTTTGATTTTGACTTTATACAGGATGTCTTAAGGCGTCAATATAAAAGAAAACGAAAAAAGCAAGTTCAATATTTTTTTCTTGGCTTTTAAAGTAGGTATACTTATAATGGTACTTTTAAATAGCTACGAGTGCTACGACTGAGAAATTGAGCCTGGATTTCTGGCATAAAGCCAAAGGCAATTTTAATCTGATTTATTTAGATCTAAAATAATGGCCCACCATTGACGAGTTGGAACCTTGGGCAAATAAAGTTAGATCATTAACAACCATTAATGTTCTAACTTTATTTGCCCAAGGTTCCAACTCGCAACACACGTTGGCCATAAACTTTCGCACGCTTTAAATAAACAAAAATAAATCGGATCATTGGATTCTTATTTAAAAAAATAAATAGGTACATAGGTTGTTTTTTTATCAATAGAAAAGAGACAAAACTAAATAAAAAAATGTTGTTGATTGTTAGTTTTTATGAATAAAGGTGGGATTGTAACTCAGTATCTACCTAATTCATATAGCAATACCAGGCATGTCTGCCATATCATATCAGGAAGGAAATTCTTGCTACTATGATTAGGTACATACTCTAGCAAAGTATACCATACAACCTACCTGCCAATTTGAAATTGTGAGAAAAGTTCAGTCCAGGTTCTGAGCAACTGCTATTTTCCCGCGAGGAAAACATATCTTTTCATGTTACTAATTACCTACTAATGTTACGTGACGTGATTATTATAATAGCTATGAGAACAAAACGAGATTGGTAACATTAACAAAAGGGTACTAAGTAGGTATGTATTTATTTTAACTTCAATGAAAACTGTACTAAATACCCATTTAAACTTTAACTAGGCCTACAACCTGTGAGATAATAGTTTAGATTTTAGATAGGTACCTACTTAAAATATTTATTCGAGTAAGTAATCTTGTAATTACGACAAGATAGATTTTATTAGCTTAATCTCGTAGGTAAATATGATTAGGGTAAGCTTATCGGCATTAGGGAGTTTATATCTTCTAACATTCATAAAACCAGTGTAAATTAATTGCGTAGTCACGAAGGAATTTACGGACTAGCTGTTTGACTTGTACTTAGTTTCCACGATACTCGGTTTCATGTTCTTTACTCACGTTGCTCATGAGCAAACATGCGCTTCAAAAGTAGGTAGGTGTCGGACTTCGAAATATCGCGTATCTATAGCACCTCGGATCCATTACTAATGAGAATTGTGAAGGAGAAACAGCCCATGACTACTTACTGGTACATAAAAAGGTTCTCAATGAGAATGTTTCTCTACTTCTTCTAACGATTAGGTACCTATGTAGGTTCCAAATAAAGGAAATAGGTATTAACATAATATATGTACCAACATAATGTGATGACCCGATATGAAAATCTTTCAGTCTTTTGCTTTCAGTTAGTTTTTTGTAACTTCGTAAAAATATTTCTGCGTACTGGATGTGGATAAATAAGTGAATTATTTTATTAAATAAAACCTGTAAGGAACCACTGACCTTGTAAGTAATTCGGAGCACAAAAAACAGCTTACAAAATAAATTAAATTATTACCAAACTTCATTGCCCATTTACGATACTACATTAAATTTCAATTAAAACGGTTAGTGTAACAATGTTACAATGTGTAAAATATCGCAACAGGTTAACGGATAACAGCGGAAAACTATAATTTTCTAGAAATCTAATAGGAGAGGCCTTCTGCTAATTTGTATCAGCGTACAAATTAGGAAAAATCTGTGTCAGGATTTAATTATCTTTACAGTAAGTACAGTTTTTGAGCTTCAAATCGCATGTAAAANATGTAAATCACATTATCATACGATCCGAAAACAAAAGGAAACACAACTGTCATAAGAGTGTGCCCTTACCTTATACGAAAAGGAGGGAAAGCCTGTCAATGAGTAGCATGTTAGTAATTTGATCGTGGGCTTTACAAAAAGGTTGCATGAAGGTTCAAGCTTGGTTCTGTTCAAAATCCGTTCAAATATAGTTTTAAGCCGGTTAAGGCATCTTGCGGTCTGATGAGTAGTTCGCTTTACCTGCGCAGTAGGACAGGTAAGTTAATCCTGTTAGGTGGCCGTGACACGTTGCCCGGCTTCTGTGTTCAGCACAAGGCATTTAGTCGCCGTCGCTGCGCGCATCCGTCCCGCGATGTGCGACACGAGAACTCGCAGAACCGCACCTGCCATACAAGAGAAGCTAGCCATCTATGAAAACGGTATCGAAATCATAAACCACAACTACCATACTCGATTATCATCTGTCATTCCCTAATTAGACTGACGATTTACGATGGAAAGTACCAATCATAACCTGATTTGAACACACGCATTTGCGTTTTAGTTTGGACAGAGTTGTGTTTCACTACGCCTAGTTGTCATTTGGCACACGCACTAATAAAGCGGTTAGAACAAAAGCACATGTCCACCGCTTTCACGCCGTGTGATTGCGATATCCGATCGGTGACATACTGCACCGGTCATTTAATACCCTGAGTTACGTCCGCCTTATCGTTTGTTTACATGCATATCATTATTCGTAGTAATTGACACCCGTATATTTGGCCTGTTGTAATAACAGCCACTCATTGTTAACACACAATGTTTTACGTAATATAACAATAATATGCATTAATCATTATTACTCAGAAATATAGTATGAATCAGCTCTTTGATGAGACGAGTGAAGAGCATTCTTTTGACGTTGACCGCAAGTACGCTACGCTACGTTATTTATTCGTTTAACCTACTTATAATCAATGTACATGCCATTATAGAGTTGGGACTTTGTTGTTTAAAAAAAGGTGTCATTACTGAGCTGATAATGAAGCTGACCGTCGAACACAAAATACTTATACCAGACGAGTGTCGGCCTTAGTCAGTTTACAAAAAATGTTGTTCCCACGTCAGCATATGAATAACAACCGGTAGATTAGACCCGCTTTGTACGCTGTCAGAAAACGATATAACTTATTTATTTCGTAAACGTTTGTTGTCCAGACTAAGGGACTAAGCGGGAAAATGCAGACATATTTTCTTTGCAGAAATGTGAAGTTCACACAATTTTGAATGTCTGCAATAGTTTTCTAGACAAGCAAGTAAAATATGTAGATGGATGTCAGAAATGCGTGCTTTGAACAAATTACTAAAGCCTTTTGAGATAAAACATGATTGCGCTGCATATTAAGTTGCCTAACAGTTAGTTTCTACTAATAGCTTATTTATGTCCAGAATGTGAAAATAATTGTGTAACATGACACAGAACTGGAGCATTGCAAAAATGGAAACTGGAAAGATACTTTTTATTGCACTGCTTTAAATTATATCGCATGTAGAGTTGGAGAAACAGATGTACCATCTATAAAGTACGGGACAATTTATGTTCATTTTTTATGAATTCTGCAGGAAAAACGCACTGTAGCAATGCATGTAATTACGAGTTTAATTTTTTTCACAAATTGATTGTGCGGATAAGTGAAATGTTGACAACAAAATAACACGCTATCTTAGGCTACGTCTCCTCGACGATTTAAAGTAAGCTGGTGGAATAAGAACTTGTTATCGTAAAACTTATACGTAACTTTATAGTCATTATCAATTTACCAGAGATCGGAGATGATCCCAACACTGCGGTATGCATAACAATCGTTGAGGAGGTCGCGTAACAACGCGATTGCGGATACAAAATCACTACAGTTACATTTTTGTGCGGCGCATGACAAAACATACGGTGCATTGTAAGTGCACTTTGTATGCCAGAGCGTTTGGCACGGCTGCCGGACAAAGGATCGGGATCGCAGGATAAGCTGCCAGCGCCATGGGTGGCGCGCTCGCTCCTTTCTAGCCACTTGTCTACTCGAATGCCATCTGCATATTTCTCCTCATACATATGCATGGAGATCGATATTTATGTGCGGCAATACGCTATGCTCTTTTTCCAATCGTTCATCGTAAACAAGCTATGCCAGCTATTTCTTCAACCTTTCATTCTTAGTAAAATTGTTTATTTGTGCCTAGAGCACGAAAGCGGAAGTCGGTTAACGTACAGAAATATCTTGCAATTGTTCGATTAGTAATGTTTGGTTCAACATCTGGTTCGCTCCAATAATACACCGCCTGAATACATTAACTTGTTTGTTAACACTCGTATTCACACTCCTATTCAAAGTTTCTTTATAGCTCTACCTTTTAAAATCGTAAAATACTTACGACCTCTAATTAAATAGTGTCAGATAAATTATTAATTGGCGTACTAAAAATAATAGCAGGCAGTAAAATATGTGTGATATTTAGTGACCGATTTAACATTAATATTCAATACAAAATTGTGTTCAGTAAATATTGTAGAACATGATGTCAAATTACTATCTAAAATTAAATAATCAAGTACACGTATGCACACATTACTTACTTAAAATATTAATTTATGCATTAGCGTGTCACTTCAGTTGAATGGGTATAGTATACTAAATGTGGCCTGCTATTAATATTCATAAATACTTGACGTTACGCACGTTGCTCAAAGGGTTGGAGATTGTACCTACCTTCAATGATTTATCAATGTATGTATGTATGCCCAGTTA